GGTGCCGTTCCACAAAACGATCGTAGGTCCCATACTTTAACATAGACTTACGACGGTCGTAGCTCTACGATTGCTTTGAGGAACGGCGTCCAGTTTTGTAAACAAATCATAATGCTATATTGTGAATCAAGGGAAGAATTGTATGTTATGTAGTGTATATCATGACACTTGCGCACAGTGAACTACGTTTATGTGACCTGTTTTTTGTCTGACCACGTGCTGTCTATTTTGGCCGAAGTGCATATAACAAACTGAAATCAGCGGTCCCCAAGAGCCCATTATAACCATAGTTACTGTACATGATACAGACTGACTGACTGTCTGAGTTAGTTTTACGCCGTTTTTAGCAATGTTCTAGCAATGTCATGCGGGGGACACCAGAAATGGGCTTAACAAATTGTACCCATGTGGGGAATCGAACCCGGGCCTTAGCCGTGAGGAGCGAACGCTTTAACCACTAGGCTACCCCACCGCCCCCACATGATATAGAAGTATTGATCTTCAAAAGTGTCCTGGGCCCCGTTTCACAAAGCTCTTGTAAGCCTAAGATCTCGTAACTTTCTTCATAGCATTCCTACCTCCTATCCTGTAACATTGACTTACGATAGTCGTAGTGCTACGAGAGCTTTGTGAAACGGGGCCCTGCTCAGCATGTCCATGCAGAGTCAAAAACTTCATTCCTTAGGATTTGGTACATACCCCTCCCTCCCCAGGAACTTAATTCTAAGAAAATGTTGAATATGTGTATTACATATATGATATTCTGGTATGTTTAGACAAGGAATGACAAATGAGTACTGGAACGTTATGACTTTTGACAATGACCTTGTTTAAAGATATGATCGATAAAATAGGATAGGAGCTTTTCCTTATTTTAGTTACTATTCAAAATATTGAGAAATAAGGTAAGTTGAATTTATCAGATGGAGAAACTTACAGGGCCATGAACCCTCCCAATCCATGAAACTTAAGGAATTAATTTTTGTTACATCAAACTTCTGTACTGGTCCCTAAAACTCTCATAACCTTCACAATACTTAGTGGCTCAAAGACAGATGGTGCTGCACCCGATTCCATTAGGTGTATGCTGCCAGACAATATATTGACAGAGATCTATGTGTAAAGCTCTCTGACTTTTACTTTTGTTTGGCTTCAAAAGTGTGTAAGAGACAGGCAACGCATCTATTCCAGGTTTTCGATCTGTAAAGGTTCACAAACCGACATCACCTCTTGTCCTTGATCAGGTTCAGAATGATTAGCTGAAGTGATTCATCTTTTTGTTTCCACACCAAATTGATGTGAATATAAATATTTTAAGGTTAATCTAGCTACTTACTGGAAAGTAGAAGTGATGTCGGCTAAGTCTCCTCCTTCTCAGAGACCAGAAAGAACTACCTTCACAAGGTCGAGCTTCTTTAAGTAAGATAGAAAAGGCTGGCTGGTTTGAATATTTAACTCTAATGCTCTTCTCAAGTCCCGAAATAAATAACCAAGTTTCTTTAAGACTTTTCTTGCATATGGAGTGAGCATGTCTGAAAGTCCTTCCAATATTTTAAGGATGATTATGGAATTTTTTCTTACATTTTTAACTGAAGTTGAAAACAGTTCCGAGTTCAAAGCTTAAAAGATGTAAAAATACCCACCAAATTATCACACTGAACAAAGAGACGATGTACACAAGAGCAAAAGAATTTAAAGATCAACCTATTCTTTCAAATAACTATTGTTAATCTGTCATGACAAGATAGATTATCTATAGTAATATGGAAGAATCCAGTGCTCTTTTTTGAGTAGTATATATTTAATGGCAGAAAGACAAAATTGACACAAAACTTCAAATGGAAGATGCTTAAAGGAAAACCATCTCAAATACCAAAATACAGAAGGATTTACTTTGCCATGACTTGGATTGATGAATCTTGATAAACACTTTTCTACTACCAAGAACTTGTCTATGGGAACACCTTTGTTAAAGAAGTTAAGTTCTCAGGTAGTAAACAAGATTATTATGCACAGTGGAGAGACAAGATAGAGACCACCACCATCAGTGGTGAAGGGTGTGTGAATCTCTCTCACTCACTCACCACTCACTCACTCACTCACTCACTCACTCACTCACTGGCTCATTCGCCCACCTGTCCACTCACTCACTCACCATACTGCTCTAAATGCATGTTCTAGCTCTAAATGCATCCTGACCTCTGCTGTTCTCATAGCTTTTAATGAAACATTCATTAGGCACCGGTCATGTCAGGTTCCAAATCAGTCCTTGCTTCTGATTCGGTGATGACGAGGTCACATTTAGGGTGTATCGTCAACAAAACTGCTAGCATCTCATTTCATGTGTCATTTACCCGACAGAGATCCATTGACCTGAAGACTTCACCCCCCTTCCCCATTATCAACATCGAACATGGCTGCGTCATGTCGCAGCCTCACTATGGATGAACGTATTCATTATATCCCGAGTCCACAGTTATTGACATATTTATGCAATTGGTGCCGTATAATTATTGATGCAAGAAATATGACCAGCTGTTCGATTCCCACATCATTAGAGGGATTCAGGCTCCGAGAAACTCTGCGCTCGTAACCATCGCTTTCTCAACAACATGTATTAATCAAGCTTTCGCTAACTTCCTCAGTTAATGTCGACTGTCCCAGTATGTAAGACTCATTGGTATCACATCGCTTTTTGTCTTGTTTAAACATTGAAAGATTTATGCATAAACTACTTTCTGTTGTTTTGGGATTGTTTTTCATTCTTTCTCACTATTTTGGGTAGAAATTAGAATCTGTGATCGGCGTGAGCTGGCATTTGTACCTCTTACATTTGAAAGGTTTACATGTGATTTTACTGCCGTTGTTGTCACTGTTTAACTTGACAATGACAATAGAGAAATGGAGTTTCACATCCAGAATCAGTCATTCATAGTCCAACCATTTGGATTATATTAATTGTAATTTAGCATTACGAGCACACTTTATGGTGTGGATTTTGCAAATCATAATTAAGCACATCATCATCATCATCATCATCATCATCATCATCATCATCATCACCATCATCAAGCCTCTGGCTTGTGTCGATTCCCCACATGGGCACAATGTGTTAAGCCCATTTCTGGTGTCCCCCGCCGTGATATTGCTGGAATATTGCTAAAAGCGGCTTAAAACTAAACTCAGTCAGTCAGTCATCACCATCATCATCATTTATGTAACTCTATGTCCTAAGTGGAGTTGAGTTATAGAGGTGAGGTGAAATGGGGATTTTTCTCTTATATATAATGTCATAAATGCGTGTGCGTGCGTGTTCTGCCATGCATGTGTGCATGCCTGGACATCTCTGGTGGCCCAGATGACGTACCAACTGTCCCAGTTAACATGGAAAACCCACTTTGACTCTGAATACCTTATAATAACTCCAAGCTGTTACTACTGCATACATCCACCTATAAGGCACCCCCCTCTATGAGAGGACCGCCTCCGTGGTGTAGTGGTTAGAGCGTCCCGACCGCGTCATACCAAAAAACGTTAAAATATGGTACTTGTTGGTCCCTGCCTGACGCTCGGCATTAATGGGTACAACAAGAACTGGTCGGCTCGGAGTCAGTATACTGTGTCTGAGTGGGGTATTCATGCTTCACTGCGGCATGGTATCTCAGTGAGCTAGCACTATAAAACCAGCTTCAGTCTGGGCTAGTACAAGCAGCCGCACATACACATACACACGCATGCACGTCGTCATATGAGCGAAATGTTCTCAAGCACGACGTTAAACCCAATTTCACCTCACCTCACCCTCTATGAGAGCCTTCATGGTCAATGCTAATTCATCTAAAGCAATCTAGATGCTGATCACCAAGCAGGACAACACTATGAGACAGCCAAGGGAAAAGTGAGTGAGTGAGTTTAGTTTGACGCCGCTTATAGTAATATTCCAGCAATATCACGGCGGGGCACACCAGAAATGGGCTTCACACATTGTACCCATGTGGGAAATCGAACCCAGATTTTCGGTGTGATGAGCGAATGCTTTATCCACTAGGCTACTCGGGAATAAAACCATCAACATTCTGCTTTCCAGGCAGACACAACAGCTGGGCATTTTTCTGTAATACAGGACAAGTGACAATACATTATAGGGGTGACTAGGTACTGTTAGAAGAAGTGTATGGCTCCCAGTGTTTAGCATTGATCTGTCATTGTTGTAGCTATTGTTGCTCAATGGAACAAGGCGTAGATGTCTGTTGTGTGAGTGAGGGATTTGCTGCTTTAAAAAATGCTTCTGTTTTATCACGGTTTGTCAGCTTAGTGTGCAGTGAGTAAGTACGGTTTTATGCAAGTTTTAGTAATATTGCAGCAATATCACGGCGGTGGACACCAGAAATGGGCTTCATACATTTTACCCACGTGGAATCGAACCCATGTCTTCAGCGTTACAAGCCAACGCTGTAACCACTAGGCTACCCCACTTCCCAGTTTAGTGCGGAAGGGAGGCCAAAACACTAAAACATCAAAGTGAAGTTACCTGTTGTTACCTTGCCTGGCCCTCAGTGTTAAGGATACAGAACAATAAGTGCTTCAGTAACTGCTGATGAACTTATGGCTGCAGAAATGCTGCAGAATTGATGATACAGCATAAATATCCTCTCATGCAATTTTGCAACGACCAAATGCCATTTGCATTAAAAACTAGTTTTTACTATAAATAGAAAGCCTACCTTTCACCTGACATATTTTGGGGTCATGTTCCTAAAACTTATGTATTTTGTTTAGACCTTACTAAGCATGGAAGATCTTTACAGAGTTACATCCCCTACCCATGGTAGGATCTGCTGTTGAATGAACCTGTCCTCTATGTCGTGTGTGTATTTCCTGGTGAGGTTTTATCATTAGTAAGTGCCTCCTGTTATGTGGCTACTGTCATAAGTGGCACAAAAGCACCGAGATATTTGACTATTAATTATAATTAATTGTTATTGTTGTTGTTGTTACAGACTCCTCTAAGAAGCTGACCGATGTCCTCGATGAGTTCAACGGTGATGGAGCCTTGTCCAAATATAATCGGGATGAGGTGAGTATTGATGATCTTCATCTAGTGATGACTTGATTTGCTAATAATAAAAACAATATACACAATGAAGTATATCATGTATAGCTGAGTTTATATAGCATTATTAAAGGCATTATTATAATTATCATACGAAATTTGAGATATGACTGCAAGACGAGTGTTCCTTACTAAGAGGGACCCAGTTGTCTAAGACACTGAAATTAACTTCATCTTTTATGAGTGCCAGATACTTAGATTGTGGGTTTGAATCGCCAAATTGGTCTGATTTGGTTTCAAGATTCATCTGGACCATTGTAGGGATCGATTAAGTTGTAAAGGTTTGAGTCTGCATTACTTAGGGCTTTCCTGGCATCACGGTTCATCCCAGTAATATTTATAGGTTTGTGTGCACCATATGTATCACCAAAGGGATAAACATCTGAGAAATGCCTCACTTTGGGTGTTCACTCACTCACTCACTCACTCACTCACTCACTCACTCACTCACCTCACTCACCTCACTCACTCACTCACTCACTCACTCACTCACTCACTCCTCACTCACTCACTCACTCACTCACTCACTCACTCACTCACACTCACACTCACTCACTCACTCACTCACTCACTCACTCACTCACTCACTCACTCACCCACCCACCCACAAACCCACCAACCCACAAACCGCACACACCCTCTTACAAAGATTAAAATAAGTGGTTCAAATATTTACTTTATTTCATTTCAGCCGATCGACTACGAGGGATTCCAGCTATTCATGGAGATTCTAATGGAATCCTCTTTAACTGAAGAATTGTGCAAGACTCTCTTTCTGTCTTTCATGAAGAAACCTGTTCCGCAAGGGGCTAATGTTGGTAAGGATTTCCACATCCGCGATGTGGCAGCAGCAATGGCGTCACAAACCTTGTGTGCACCAATCACCCACCAGACAGCTGATATACACCTCGAAAAACCTGAAAAGCATCATGGTCTTGCCGAAAAATTGCATGGACTTACCGAGAAGCTTCACGGCCTAGGTCATCATGGCGGTGACAAAGGCCACTCACGCCATGATAGCAGCGGCACCGATGCTGGGAGACGAAGTAGAGCAGGTAGATGTCAGCCACGCCATCAAACAAATTGTTTGAATTATGAAGAAAGGACCGAGCTTCCACCTTACACTTATCTTATTTCTGGCTAAAGAACCAAAATTCTTACCAACTTTGACCTCCAATAACCAGTTTCCTTTAAAGTCTTCTGAAAATCTCTTCTAACATCCATATTTAGAAATCCGAATATATTGGTCCTGAGCTCTGTTCCACAGCATGATCTTAGCGCTAAGATGTTGATAACTCCCATACTTTAACTTTTGGTCTACAATATTTATGCAGCTAAGATTGTTTGTGGAACAGGGCCCTATTGAATGATGTCCATATATATATATAAATATTTGCCCACAATTCTGAAGTAAGATGCGGACATAGAACATCATACTGTAAGGAACAGAAAACATCTTTGTGAGATTCTGTTCGAAAGAAATGAATTTGGATTCAGCCAGAACATACATGTAGCTCAAATCCACTCAAATATATGTTTAATCCTGATCTTAAAACTCACCTCACTTTATTTCTGAATTGGTTATATAAGACTCAGTTTTGAGTCTGTTGTGGGTTATTCGGATGCAAAAAGTCCAAGGCTCTTCTCATATAACAAATTTGATTATCCACATAACATGGGTTTGACATGATATGGCTGAAAATTCATAACAGTGACATGCTCACTGATTGGAATGTAGGAGTAGTTTGGTGGTTGAAGTGTTTACTCAGAAACTAACGGTTTAATTCCCTCCTGGTCATAATATTTGAGGGGCGGTGGGGTAGCCTAGTGGTTAAAGCGTTCGCTCGTCACGCCGAAGACCCGGGTTGGATTTCCCACATGGGTACAATGTGTGAAGCCCGTTTCTGGTGTCCCCTGTCGTGATATTGCTGGAATATTGCTATAAGCGGCGTAAAACTATACTCTCTCACTCACTCACTCACAATATTTGAAGCCTGTATATGGTTTTGCTTCAATATTGCTAAAGGTTCCACAAACGTATGCCCACAATAATTTTAATGACAATGAGTTTATCATCACGTTCCACTTTCCACAAGTAAAAAAGATATGCATGACATTAGGAAACAAGAGGTTGACAGTAACAAACATATACGATAATTTAATAATTAATTTATACAGTGCAGGTTTCCTCCGACTTACAGTATGGTGTTCAATGTCTTCAGCTAATTGAAATATCAACATCACACAGAAGATGTTTCAAATTTGACCCATACCTCCACCATCACAAGCACTTCCAGCACAAACGTATCATTTGCAGATAGTTTTGTATTATTATTTTTAGCCAAAAACTCTTGACCACTATATATACAAGAGTCCACATGCAGCAGCAAGACGACCATTTCCTCATACACAGAATACATACTACTCAAAATAAGTAAAGGAACAACCCATTCTTTCATACAGTTGATCTGTCATGTTGCATCCTCATCTGTTTTGTTTACCAGTAGCGTGAACAAGAATCTCATTTTGCGAGATTTGCAGCATGACAGTTTTTCTACGGTGATATGAAAGAATCGAGTGATCCTTGACTTGTTTGAGTAGTATATCTTATACATATGGTCCATGTACTTGTCTTGTCTTCTTTGGTTCCGTAATGTCCTTCCATATGAAATGCCACCTTCAACCTCTTTATTTGCATGCATAATGTCCACTATTGACCAACTATTCCCTAACCCTTTTAATACAATCCTTCAAGTAATGCATGATGCATGACCCCTTGACCTCTCACATCTGACCTTTCTATTTGCATATTGTAATGGGTTGATTGACATTATGGGACTGGTGGTATAAACAAGGATTGTGTGTGTGTGTGTGTGTGTGCGTGTGTGTGTGTGAAAATATGTCATTGAATAAATGGTGTTCTGAATTGCATCAAGCCCATGACAAAGAATTTCAGCAGATTCAGGGTGTCACACTGGAAGCAATATTCCAGCTGTATGTGACACTGGCGGCAATATTCCAGCTGTATGTGACACTGGCAGCAATATTCCAGCTGTTGTGTAACTGGCAGCAATATTCCAGCTGTGTGTGACACTGGCAGCAATATTCCAGCTGTGTGTGTGAATATTCCATATGTCCATTGACACCGGCAGCAATATTCCAGCTGTATGTGACACTGGTGCAATATTCCAGCTGTGTGGCAGCAATATTCCAGCTGTGTGTGACACTGGCAGCAATATTCCATGACAAGCAATATTCCAGCTGTATGTGACTGTTTGTGTAACTGGCAGCAATATTCCAGCTGTGTGTGACACTGGCAGCAATATTCCAGCTGTATGTCAGCAATATTCCAGATGTGACACTGGCAGCAATAGTGTGACACTGGCAGCAATATTCCAGCTGTATGTGACACTGGCAGCAATATTCCAGCTGTGTGTGACACTGGCAGCAATATTCCAGCTGTATGTGACACTGGCAGCAATATTCCAGCTGTGTGTGACACTGGCAGCAATATTCCAGCTGTGTGTGACACTGGCAGCAATATTCCAGCTGTATGTGACACTGGCAGCAATATTCCAGCTGGCTGTATGTGACAGCTGTGTATTATTTGGACCAGACAAACAAGTGATTGATATAACGAGCAACATCGACTAGTCATCGAGGTGTCATCAATGACACGCAATCAAGAAAGCCTGACCACCCAATCCACTAAGTCTCCTCTTACAAAATAATTTTGCATTGTCAGCGCATGGGAGACATAGGTTCCATCTTGGAAGCGTGGATTGGAATGAAAGAATGTGATCAATCTTAGTATACAAATAGAATATACAGACAAAATCTTTTTTTATCCACTTACGCATGAGCAACATTGGTTCCATCTTGGAAGCGTGAAGTTGAATGAAAGATTGTGATCAATCTCAGTATACAAATAGAATATTCAGAAGATAAAACAGACATGGAATCAACCTTCAAGGGCACACATAGCATTTACTAATGTCTACCCGTCGAGGGTGACGTCACGAACACCATGCATAGCATGTCCACATATGCATGATGCAGTTGCACCAACCACCTTTCAATCAGTCTTCATTCTGCCAATCAGAATCTGTCTTGCATGTGGCTTGCTCCACCCTTTCTTCAGTGGCGCTCCTTCGTCTCCCGGGACATGGCAGCTGACTTGCTAGGGTCAAGGTCACCAGATGACCTGACCTTTGACCTATGGCCTGATGTGGTATGTAGTTTCAGACCATTTTTGTTGCATTTGGCCCTTGTTTTGGAAAAAAACAGAGAGTGGTGGGTAATTCGGTGTGAGTTTCTTTAACGCACATGTTTAGTTGTTCTTTCATGTTTTCCATTTGATTATTATTTTCATGTTGAAAACTTCATCCAGTAATTCAAGAGAATATTTATATTTACAAATATCTATTTGTTTTAGTGAAGATTCCAAATTATGCTAATAAACTATGATATGAAGTTAATTTCTGTAATTGTAAACAATCTCCATATTCTTTTCTGAAGTGTTGTGAGTATTTGTATTACATTAACCTTTGTTCATTGATGATGTCGAGTTGACTGTGTTCAGTGATGTGTTGTGTTTACCCTTTGTACCCATTGTGTCATTTCAAAGTGTTTGTGTTCAGCTGTTTGTGTGTCGATTGTTACTGAAATCTCTAACTATCATATCATGCATTGACAAGGTTCCCACGGTCAAATATAAAGATTAAGGCCAATCCATGAAGAGTTTGTACGCTACGACATTCGTAAGTCTGTGTTTAACTGAAGAGTTACGACTGGTCGTAATGTTACAAATACTTTGTGGATCAGGATCCTGGACTGTTCACGAGTTTACATACACTACATTCCTCCAAGACCCATGGATACGTGTCTGTATCGGTAAAGTTGTGACGCCTGTATTCAGATATGATGCGCTGTTTATATAAAACATCAACCCGAGAAAAGAAAATCTGGATTGTCCACTGAAACAGATACTATTGGGCATAGAAGGCGAATGTGGTTAAAATTATATGAATGGATCACTTGAAATCTGAAAACACCAGGTGTTCGCAAAAGTGGTGAGTTTGTCCCACAACTGTAGCATCAGCCATTTGATTAACTTGCAGCATGGACAAAATGGACATATAATCTGAGCATGATATGTGTGCAAACCCTAGTTTTTCCTGACATTGAAGCAATGTCTTCAGTAGAGGATGCTGGGATATGTCACGTGTTGCACACGTCATCAAGAAATGTCATGGTTTGTGTAATGTAGTTCATCGAACGTTCCCTCTCACTAAACACACTAACTCTTTCTGTGAACACCTGGTGTCATCACTGATTTTCTTTGATCCACTTATACAATTTTCCATACAACTTTCACTGTCTTTCATGCCCATTGGAATATGTTTGAGCGGGCAATTGTTTGGTGCTGACGTTTTTACATACATTGATAAAGCTGCATAAAAATGTTTAATAATATATACATAATGATAATAATATTCCCACTGCAAAGCCACACCATGGTTGACTGGAGGACTGTAGTGATTACATGACGTGAGGATATTTGGGTCTGTTCCACAAAATGATCTAAGGTGATTGTGACTGCCATAATATACACAGGCTTGCGATCATCGTAGTTCTAATTTTGCTTTGTGAAACAGGACCTGTGCAGATTGTTTTTAGGCTTATATGTTCTTGTGCTATATTACTACATGGATTCTGATACACAAACACTGATCTCTTCCCCAAACATACATGTTCTTGGAATTCCAGAAATTGAGAAATAGTTGACCACAGATTTATGCATTTAACATTTTGGGATATGTACTTTATGGTTGAACAAAAAAATAGAGGGATCAACATTTCTTGCAATAAAGTCATATTGGTTTGGATACACCAAGGACTGGAATTTTGCAGATGTCAAGCTTTAGGTAAACTATTTCATTTGCCTACTTGCTGAAGTCAGTAATTCTTGCAAATATCCTTCCACCATGACATATAGAATCTTCACATTTTCAACAGAAATCCTCTTCACTGTGAACTATCCATAAACAGTTGTACAAGAAACAGTAGATTGAGATTCATTTAGATTTGAATTTGCCTCGTCAGCACAGTACCAATATTCTTGGGTTTTACCAAATGACGAACATTTAGGACCCCTCAAAATTGACTAATGAAGTTGAATACTTTTGAAAGCACTATTCAAATCAACCCACCCATTTGTTTGGAAGGGGACCTGATCACAAGGTCATGTACAGCTCAACAATACTGCATTCAAAGTGGGTTTGGTCTAAAGTTTAAATTTTACTATAAAACATGTTGAAATACTGCTTACCTTAAAACAAATTTACATTTCATCATATTGAATGATAAAAAATGTTGCATCATTAGTCTTGTAGATATTTTTACATTGCATTTATTATAATTCAGCTTTCCGAGGGTCCAGGCTTTTTGGTAAAACATAGATTCCATTTAAAAAGAAACTAAAATGCAGAATAAATATTCCACCACAGAATATAGAACCTGTTCACGTCTACATGTTGGCATAGTGTGGCTAGTGTAACCTTGTCATTGTCTGAACAAGGAACTTGTTGTAGCTGATTAAATACACTTGTTGAATTGTATAATTCACAATCATTTGTAAAGAATCAGATTCAAATCGTGTTGTACAAACTCTAGCAGCTTTTGACACTAACATGTTTATTGTAGTAAGGAAAACTGTTGTATGACACGACATCTAACAACAGATAGAAGGTTAAGTTATTGCAAAATGTCATTGACCTGTGCTAAACAGGTAAATTTATACCAAATACTTTTGTCAGTTGTGTCCGATTTTATTTTATTTTTAAATAATCTATCATGCAGATAAGGAATATGAATGAATGACATAGTGGAGTTAAAAGTGTATATTGGTTGCCATGGAAACCATATTATTGGAATCATTTTACACTGATGAAATGATAATGTTTTCTTATTTATATAACCAGTTGTTCTCATTGCTAAATTCCTTTTCATCTTCCGTGAAAGTAAGCAAGTCGTCCAAGTTACCTAAAATTGCTGCATAATTAAATCGATATGACTTCTGGTTTAAGAATTTATTCCACATTTTAGCTTATTTTCCAGATCAATTTGAACGTCAACACATTATTGAAAATATACTGAACACCATTGAAAACGCACCACTTATAAAAGTTCAGATTATTAAAAGCACGTGTAAGGAATTGATATTTTTTGAGTGGATAATAACAGATGGACGAATGACTCAACAACACAGTGAAATGTTCCACAGTCAGAAAGGATCAAACACACACGGGGTCAAATCAAAAAGTCAATATCGCATTTGACCGCCATTTGCATTGACACATGCAGTTCAGCGTCTCCTCATTGAGTCAATAAGCGTCCGAATAGTTTTTTGAGGATGGCATTCCACTTCTGCAGTAGTGCAGCCTCAAGTTCCCGGATGTTTCACATCTGTTGTCGCCGCGAAAGACTTTGACCAATATCGTCCCACAAGTGCTCCATTGGGGATACATCTGGCGACTGTGCTGGCCAATGAATAACCTGGATGTGTTACTGGGCCAGACACTGCATGGAAAGTCTTGTTGTGTGTGCCCGTGCGTTGTCCTGTTGAAAAGTATGGACATCGTGGTGGTGATTGAAGACAGATACGATGTGATTCTGAAGAATAATAGAGGGCATTAACTCTCCCTTGACAGACATGAAGGCAGTCGTGTGATTGTAATTTATTCCACCCCAGACCATGACACTCCCACCACCCAAAGGTCTGTCTGAACCACACACTCATGAGCATAACGTTCACCACGTCTACGCCAAACACGTAATCGGCCATCAGCACTACGTAGATGAAGATGTGACTCGTCAGTGACTACCACACCATGCCATTGTTGTAACCTTTACTGAAAATGGCTGCTAGCCCATTGTATACACTCATTACGGTGTCTGTCAGTCAGAATTGGTTCAACGTAAGGACGTCGAGCATGGAGCCCTGTAGCGTATAGACGGCATCACATGGAGTCAGCGCTGATGACCCCTACGTCAACCTTGAACTAGTGCAGCAGTACTGGCAGTCGGCAGTGTTCAATCACTGATATAGATAAGGTCAATATGGCGATCCTGATGGAGCGTCGTAACACGTTGTTGCCAAGGTCATTGAAGGTCACGGGTGCTGCCTGTCTACTGATGTCGTCTATGAAGCCTAACAGTGGTGGAGTGGCCAAGTCCAAGTTGTCGAGCAATATCCCTGCTGCTGGTGCCAACCTGAATCATGCCTAGTGCACGTTCTCTTTCGTGAGATGTTAACCTCGGCATCTATGTCCTCGTTTCACAATGGTTAGTGAAGCAATGAGAATCGGTTCTCATACACCTGCTTTTAATGTCACAGTCCGTATGATTTCAGAATGAAATTCGCGCTTTTTTCATGGTGTGGCTGCATGTTGATGCATTTTGGAATTAAGAGTCATACTGAGGACAGGAATTTGTTTCTAAAGCATTTTTTCAACTGGACATGCCCTTCGACTTCATGTTAGTTATATTCATTGATCATTGTCATGCTGAAATCCATCTTGATGAAAACATGGACAATTTTAGACTGGTGCGTTTTCAATGATGTTCAGTATATGTTGTAACAAAGGATTATGGTAAAAAATGTGTTAGACTGATGCCAAGTAGGCTAGACACATGATAGATGTGACACTGATCTGATGAAATGTAGTGTTACTTTACATTGTAAATAGGTGAACTATGGTTAAATCGACCTCAAAGGGACCGCTGATTTTAGTTCATAATAATGGTAGTTTAATTGTTATACACATTTTAGACCCATGAAGATCTGAGTTAAAATTGGTCTTCAGCAACCCATGCTTGTCGTAAGAGGCGACTATTGCGATTGGGTTGACACATGTTGATCACTGGATTGTGTGGTCCATACTTGATTATTTACATTACACCGCCATATTGCTGAGTGTGGCGTTAAACAACAAAATAACAACACAAACAAACACAAACTGAAATATACAACAATTTGCCAGGAACAAAACAGTAGTTTAATATCTCAATCTTAAGCATGTTCATTATACACATAATTTACTCTGTTTGCAGATTATCACCAAGAAAGTTACTGCAAATAAATACAAGAATGTTTATTAAAATGCACATGTTTTTCAACATTCATCCATATTGTTGATTCTATATGTGCATAGATTTGAAACCAAGGAGAAAACTTTGCATTATTTAATATGATATCATGAAATGTTGATGTAGGTTCTACAGGTGCGTCCACCCACCCGTCAGTGGCAGTCAACCAGGACAAAGGCCACCATGGGGAAGATGGCGCTCCCAACGAGGCATCTAACCACTCCCGGTCATCCTCCAAGAAGTCAAGCCACAGTATTCACAGTGTTCATAACGGTACGAGCAGTTTTCATTTTCTGGGCCCATGTGGCCAAAGTGATATTAGTGTTGAGTTTGAAGTGAGGTATTATTCGTCTTGCATTGAACTTTTTAACTGATAACGTAAGGAGCTGCAAATCAATGTGCAGGATTGCCTCCCTTAGCGGTGTCAGGATCTTCTGGTCGTGAGTTTGAATCCCAGAGTCAACCTAACTTTGATTCTTGGTTTCATGCCTGTGTTTGACAACTACCTCACTTAGGGGTGTAATCAGACATCAAGTTTGGGGTAGTGGGGAAGCCTAATGTTTAATGCATTTGCTTGTCATGCTGAAGACATGCTGGGTTTGATTCCCCACATGGGTACAATGTGTGAAGCTAATTTCTGGTGTCCATGCCACGATATTGCTGAAATATTGCTAAAACCTGACTAAAACTATATTCACTCACATCAAGTTTACAAAGTGTGATGTGACGGAAATACTGAGTTTTGTGAAACACTCGTCAATCAAGTGTTGAAATAATGGCAGTATCACTTGAACTTGTTCCCTCAGTACACAGGCCTGTCTTGATGCCACCACTATGTAGATCCAATACTGTAACATAATATATACTATAGTCAAAGCACTGAAGTCATACCCTGGTCAAAGGACATCTACACTGATCAAAGTGCTGAGGTCGCTTAGAGGACCAAAGTGCTGGGTGCAACTGATTTTCAAAATGAGCTCTGTGATGACTCTTGCCTTTGAATGTTGATGGCCATTTCTTCCTTTTAATGTTTGTCATCGGTAGCTTACCTAATAAACAGACATTTTGTCCATCATTGATATTGCAGGTTCATAGCATCAAGCATATCAGTAGTATTATCATTGTCATAATTGTCACCATCATTATCATCATTCTACATGGCAGCACTTGTTTTCTGTTTATATATACATTCTTTATTACTTTGATGGTACTGATGGCCCAGCTGTTTAAAGCACCACTATTCTTTATGCAGAATTTTGTCCCATGAGCATGTCAGAAATTTGTAACCATAGGTTCGAATCCCGGTTCGCTACGATTATGTCTCATGGTTTGTCAGCACCAAAGGGGAAAGTATTTGAAGCATGCGTCACTGTGGTCTTTCCTCACATTAAGCTGATGTGTCATGATATTACTGGAATAATGTTCAAAGCTGAATTAAACCACATGACATGTATAGTTGCTGTTAAATATTTATTTATCCAGTACAATTTTAATGATAAGAAGATCCAGTTTACAATTGGATTTCAGTAACCCATGCTTGTCGTAAGAGGTGACAAACGGGATGGGTTGGTCAGGTTCGCTGACTTGGTTGACACATGTCATCGTATCCCAATTGCATGGAATTGTTATGATTTTCATGATGTTTATCACTGGATTGTCTGGTCCAGACTCGATTATTTACAGAACGCCACCATTTAACTGGAATATTGCTGAGCACGGCATTAAACTAAACTCACTCTTTCACTCCCATCATATTAATATTAAATGAGTGAAACAATAGACTGCAATACGTTTTAATATAAATGATTTTAAGTTCAAAATATGATGTATTAAAGAGCTAAATAGAGCTTTGTGTGTGTATACATGATTGTGATCTGTCCCATTACGAACATTTGACTAAATACATGAATCATCGTCCTATTAAAGGAGTGCGTGCTTCAGGTCCATTACTAGAGGGCTCGGACCCTTGGATCCGTCAGTCCACTTCCTCTCTCCTTCGCACAAATGTGGACATGAAAGCTATGAAGAACAGTTCTGCTAGTGTGGACATCAAGGCAGGACACATCTTCTTGAAGGACCTGGTGTGCTACTTGTCTCTGCTGGAGGCAGGGCGCCCTGAAGATAAGCTTGAGTGTGAGTACCAGACTGGACACTGGCCAAGATATTAAAACCAATTTAGGGGCGGTGAGGTAGCCTCGTGGTTAAAGTGTATGCTTGTCATGCTGAAGACCCAGGTTTGATTCCCTACATGGGTACAGTGTGTGCAGACCATTTCTGGTGTCCCCCATCTGTAATATTGCTGGAATATTGCTAAATGCAGCATAAAAGCATACTCACTCACTCATTAAAGCAAAAATATGGATAAAACAGAACAAGCTGACAGCTGTTTTTCGCATGATATTGAGACCTCTTGCACAAAGGGATCTCAGCACTAAACGGTAGTAACTACCAGGCTCTAACATAGACACTGTCATGGCGCTAAGATCGCTTTGTGAAAGTGGTCCCTGTTGTATAACATAGTCCACATAAATGATGACATGATGTACTTACATGTAGTGGAGCACTGCCAGTTAGCATTACTGATGCTTCTTGTTTTTGACCAAGGTACCATTGATATGTACTCAGGGTATATAGGGTAAATTCTATAACAAACCTAAATTCCATGATAAATGGGGTTTGTGGTATCTTTCATGATTATTTTTCTTTTTGTCTATCATGATAGTACCTATAAAGTTATAAATGATAAGATGATGTGAAATGAAACATAAGGTTTGTGTTCATATTGTGCCATACTGTTTACTGATTTATTAACTGTTGTTTGTTTTCTTTCAGTTATGTTTCGACTGTATGATTCTGATGGAAATGGCTTATTAGATTCCAGTGTGAGTTGTGTAGATACTTATTAATGTATCAAAGTTACATTCATTTATTGACTAAAGGAGATCACAGTGCTTAATTTACTGTGCAGAGTTGCTCCCCTTTACTGTGTTAGGATCTGCTTATCACTGGCTTGAAGTGAGAATCTACTTTTATCCTTGGGTTTGTTAGCACCTGCCTGGATATAAGAAGAGAACGTATGTGACTTTTGTCATTGAAGAAAGTTTTCTCTCTTTAAGCTTACATGCTCTTCTGACAGTGTATAAGGCGATGGTGTTAGCCTCATGGTTAAAGCGTTCACTCATCTCGCCAAAGATCTGTGTTCGATTCCCCACATGGTGGACAATATGTGAAGCCCATTTCTGGTGTCTCCTGCCTTGATATTGCTGGAATATTGCAATAAGCAGCGTAAAACCATATTTATTCATTTGTTCACTCCATCAGGGAATTACAAGACAATTAGGCCTTGTTTACATTGATAAAACATTTTGGTAGCTTGCATATTTTGTTTCTGTAAAGTAAGATTGATATTATTTCCAGGAACTAGACTGTATAGTGAACCAGATGATGTCCGTGGCAGAATACCTCGGTTGGGATGTGTCCGAGCTCAAACCTGTAAGTGAAATGTTTTACAGATGAAGGTGCCAATATTTTATGCTTCCTTTGGAGTTTAGTAAAACAGAAACAAACATATGGGCCATTTGACACGTTTGTAAAATTCAAGTAAAATATTTAAATAGTTAATATACTGTAAATGATGTAAAGTCATTAGGCGCTGCTAAACTATAAGCACAATTTAAATCTGTTGTTTGTTGTAAATCTTCTCTGTGACCTGCTATGTGAAGCCAGTGTTTCACACAAGTGAATTTGGCAATGTGTTTGATACACAGTATTCACAAAGAGACTTATAAATTTCAATGAAAAAGCAAAGTTACAAAAATCATTTTCAGATTAGGATTGTGCTGAGGTCTGTGTGCTGCTGTAGTGAGAACTAAGAACCAGTTTGAAGGAGATTGAAATATATCTTCATTTATGGCTTTTGGCATCGGGTGGTCAGGCTCGCTCACTTGGTTGATCCCAATTGCGTAGATCGATGCTCTTGCTGTTGATCACTGGATTACCTGGTCCAGGTTTGATTATTTACAGACCGGCGCCATATAGCTGGAATATTGCTGTGTCAAACAAGAAACAAATAAGATATTAAATATTAATCATAATTAATGTTATGTTTTATGTTTCTGCGCAGATTTTGCAGGACATGATGATAGAGATAGACTATGATGCAGACGGTACCGTGTCTCTGGAAGAATGGAAGAAAGGAGGAATGACAACCATTCCGTTGCTTGTTTTATTAGGCTTAGATACAGTAAGTATAGCCATGGGGTGGCTTTGTGGTTGACATTCGGTTTGGCCCACTCAAGACGGTGGTTCAGTACCACAGTGGGTACAATGTGTAAAGTCATTCTAAGGGTATCGTAGTGCATTTGCTTGTCACAGCAGTAGCCCGGGTCTGATTTTCCCCACATGGGCACAATGTGTGAGGCCTGTTTCCGATATTGGTTGAATATTGCTGAAAGCGACTTAATCCATACTCACAGACTTTGTGTGTTTGTGCTGTGATTGGCTGGAAATGTACATCTGTAACACTCAAGACATTGTGAACTTGAAAAAAGGTGGTGCTCATTACGCCATGGTGGTCGTCATTCTTAATCCTAAGAAGGTGGGCCGTTCAGAAAATCTGAAAAGCCATTGCTGATAATATGTATGATACATTGAATCTTTTCAGATTGGAATTAGTTCAAACAGTGCAGTATCATGGCTCATCCATAATTTGAATTTGCGTCATTTTAATATTAGATGGTCCAATGGCAGTGATTCAAGCATCAGTTCCAAAGTGGTGTGAAAATGTATTCACTCACTCAAGAATATGAAGGGAGCATTTTGAGCAATTATTACATCCTACTGCAAGTTGATTCCCTCACTCGCTGATGCACTCACAGCCATAGGTCCTTGCTGAATAGTGGTTTCAGACTATCAGACCCTTTGGTTAGAGGTTAAGTAACGGAAAAACGACTATAAGGCCAGACCAATTTTATTTCTGGTTTTACGGATGCGTTTGTCATATTTTTTCAAGAATAAGAAAAAAGTAAAAATTAATTTTCCCTGCTCAAAAAATAAAATCCTGAGGTTTTTATTGGCCATAAATGTGAACATACAAGAAATTTTGTTTTTAGATTTTGTTTTTTGCCCTATATACACTTCATAAATTGCCAAAAGTAACATACTTTGAGTATTTAGAAGGAATATTACTCTGAATGGTGATTTTATTTATATTTTTGTTTCCCTCCTGCCTTTAGGTTTTCTGAGGACAAAAATCCGTAAAACAAGAAATAAAATTGGTCTGGCCTAACCATGATACTCTTCAACCTTATCTCACTCAGTGTGTGCCTCATGTCAATGATAACGTGTTTCAGAATGTTCAAGATGACGGCTCGCATGTGTGGAGATTGAAGCACTTCAACCGGCCAGCCTACTGTAATCTCTGTCTCAACCTCCTGGTGGGGCTGGGCAAGCAGGGGCTCTGTTGTACATGTGAGTACCTCCTATACTTTCTATACCTTGATATGTACGTGACCCGTGAAAATTCAGTCAAGAACTGGTCTTCGGCAGCCCATGCTTGTTGTAAGAGGTGATTCTATAAAAACACTGTAACTTGCTGTACAGAAAATGGTTGATTTTCAAAGAGAAAGAGAAGTATGACCCATGTTATTTAAAATGGTCAAGGTCAACTTAGTGTGATTTGTAACAATCTGCCAAATCGGATCTGTATCCATTTTGTTCTTCAGTTTGTAAATACACGGTGCACGAGAGGTGTGTGCAGAGGGCGCGCCAGCATCGTGCATTACTACGTATGTCAAGTCCAAGAAGACCTCACAGGTAAACACCGCATGATCATCTGTTGCTTGTGACAGTGTAACAACAGCTGGATATGCAAGTACTAGGAGGGAGTGTAGGGGTCAGTCAGCTGAGCTCTCTATCAGATGTGGGGCAGTGGGGTAGCCTAGAGGTTGAAGCTTTCGCTCGTCGCGCCAAAGACCTGGGTTCAATCCCCACATGTGTACAATGTGTGAAGTCCATTTCTGGCGCACCCCGCCGTGATATTGCTGGAATATTACTAAAAGTGGCGTAAAACCATTCTCGCTCACTCTTACAGCAGGCCTGCCCTAGTAGTGAGTCATTATTGCCAGGTATCAGACAGTTAAGATGTTCATTACACAAATTTGCTCTGCCATTTGACAAATACGCTGGCCTTGTTGACATGTATGATGGTCTAAGAGACACATGTGGTCTCACCTTAGGCAAGTGAGTTTGTTCAAAATTGTCTCTGTTCACCCAGCAGGAAAATGTGTACCCGGTGGAAAAAGTCATGTGACTATAACCTTCTAGCGCCTAACAGGCAGCTTGGGTTATCCCGGGGTAATAATGTGCTGTGCCTTCATTGTTAGTGCCTAGTGTGGAGTTTGGCGCTATATAAATGGACACATTATTATTATTATTACCAATACGCTGGTCCAAGAGACCGATATGCTGGTGAAGAGGATAACATTCCACTGGACATTAGGGAACCAGTCACTAGGCTAGATTGAAGTTATCAAACTGACCAGTTGAGTGCCTTCCCTTTCAGTCTCTTACTGTAAAAACTAATACAGATAAAGTGGAAAATACTTTTTCGTAAAGACATGAAAATTTGTCATATCATTTAAAACTTGATAAAAATCTGTAACATTTTGTCATAATTCTTGCAAGTTTTCTATTTTTTGTGGCAGTAGTCCTGTTAGCTACCTCAGTTCTGTCATGATGTATATTCTATGAATGTGGATGTTCTCCAGACGATGAACCACCACTGGGTCGAGGGCAACTGTGTCGGCAAGTGTGACAAGTGTCGCAAGTCCATCAAGTCCTACAATGGAGTCACAGGACTTCATTGCCGGTGGTGTCATCTCACGGTAAGATCTCGGAGACTTTCGGCAGAAGGATAACCCTTGCTGCTTCTCTGTAAATACTCTGGGCAGTATGTCATAAAAAGGATGCAGGCAGTGATATACTGGTACACAACCTCATAAAACATAGTGGAGGAATGACAGGACACTGCCTTGTAGCAGTCACCCACTTCTGATTCAATCCTCACTCACTTCTGCCCCAATCCTGACTACTTCTGCCCCAATCCTGACTACTTCTGCCCCAATCCACTTCTGACTAAATTCTGATCCACTTCTGACTAAATCCTGATCCACTTCTGACTAAATCCTGACACACTTCTACCCGAGTTCTGACACTTCTGACCCAATCCAGACCGACTACTGACACAATCTTGACACACTTCTGACCCAATCCTGACCCAGTCCTGACACCCTTCTGACCCAGTCCTGACACCCTTCTGACACATCCTAACACCCTTCTGACACATCCTGACACCCTTCTGACCCAATCCTGACACCCTTCTGACCCAGTCCTGACACCCTTCTGACCCAATCCTGACACCCTTCTGACCCAATCCTGACACCCTTCTGACCCAATCCTGACACCCTTCTGACCCCAATCCTGACACCCTTCTGACCCAATCTGACCCAGTCCTGACACCCTTCTGACCCAGTCCTGACACCCTTCTGACCCAATCCTGACACCCTTCTGACCCAATCCTGACACCCTTCTGACCCAATCCTGACACCCTTCTGACACAATCTTGACACACTTCTGACCCAATCCTGACACCCTTCTGACACAATCTTGACACACTTCTGACCCAATCCTGACCCAGTCCTGACACCCTTCTGACCTTATAATGACTGACTACTAACACAATCCAGACTGACTACTGACACAATCCTGACACCCTTCTGACCCAATCCTGACCCAGTCCTGACACACATCTGACCGTACAATGACTGACTACTAACACAATCCTGACTGACTACTGACCAAGTCTTGACCGACTACTGACCCACTCCTGACCCATTCATGACCTACTCCTGACCTACTTGTAACCCACTGGTGTGTCTAGTCCGTTACTTTGGTACATTACATTCGGTTCTAATAAAAAGGTTGTGACCTTGAAACCAAGTCCCTCACCCCCACATGTCACCATGACCAACACAAGACAACAGGAGGGTACTGAAATATAGAACACATACAAAACACACAATGAACAACAACAAAAGTTGATCTATTTGACTGAATCAACCCTGAAAGTTCCCCAATACACAAACCTGAATGTTTTCTTGCAGTTCCACAACAAGTGTGCATCCCAGATAAAGCCCGAATGTGACATGGGAGACTACCGCGACCATATGTTACCTCCAACTACCGTCTGCCCAGCTGTGCTGGTGAGTAACGCTCTCTACCAAGCGATTCTTTTGAAGAAGGCGCATCAAAAGTTATAGCGTCTTTGATTCCTGTGTTAGTATTGATGGAAACATTTCACCAAATGAGTTTGGCCATATTCCCAGATGTCTTAGACACACTAACCTATAAAACTTACCGATGTGTAAATGGTTAGGATGTTGCAAGAGGGAGAGGATGTGACCTTCAAGTCTGTCTGGACCACATATAGGTACTAAACATATTCATCCCACACAGTTCCAACATGTTTCTTTTTAAGACTGATAATATGTCTTGGTATCAGATATTATTCATGTGGTTTTAGTTTGCAAATCAAGATTTGATAGTGTTTTGAAAGAAGATATAGTTCTAATCCACCTTTACATATGTGGCCAGTGCATGGGTATACAATAGAATATATACAGCGACAGTTAAAATGAACAGGAAGGGACCACAAATTTTAGTTCAGCATGACAGTAGTTCATCACACACATTTCAGCCAGAATATTCAGTAAGCAGCCAGGAATAAAAAAACCAGTCTGCTCTATATGACAGTTGGTTTTACGTGTGTTGGTTAGAAACTTAGTTTACTCTGTAGAATGAAATAGTGTGTGGGGATATTCTGTTAAAAGTCCTGTGGAAACTTGGGAAATAGAATGGGAAATATGTTCAATATATGTTCAGACAATCCTGATAAGGTATCTTACATGGGTGGTGGGGGAACTGAACCAACAGTGAAAAAGAATGCAAGCATGTAATTTTCCAAATGGACTGACAACATCAATTGATGCACTTGCAATCTAAGGGAGATAATGCATTGAGATTATCTCCCCTTGCTGTATTGGTTGGGGTAGTCTTGATACTGACGAGCTGTTGGGGTGTTTCGTCAGGTAACTTTCTCCATGACAATAATCCAGCCTTATGACAATAAGATGAGTCTTTGCCATGCACAAAATAATTTGCTGTGTATGCAATACGTAGGTCATTTTTGGTTTTATTGATTGTATATGTAATCAGGTACTCAGTACAGCTTAAATTGATTCTTGTTTTTAGTATTAGAAAACATTTTATTTGAGATATGGTACTCTTGTGTTTTTCATGCATGCATGCTGGGCAAAGCATGGGCTGTAATTTTGTTTTGTAACTAAAGCTTCTTATGATTTGGGTTTTAATTGCATGCTGCTGAACAATGGCAGCTTTTATGCTTCTCACATGGATGCAGTGATAGAAGTGTCCATGAGATCATTAAGTTTCCTTCAGAATGCATGTTTTTGTGGGTGTTTTTTTTCTTCACACTTTCCAGATACAGGAAATATTACAAATTAGCAGGGAATGTTGAGCAGATCAAATCATATCTATTTTTTTGTGTTATCATTTTTGCAGGGAAGTATTGAACATGTAGGAGGAAATAGAATATTTAAAACTGTTTACATTAACTGTCTAAATTTAGGTCAGTTACAAAATGTCATAAAGATTAAAAGACGAAATATCATATTAGGATATGTTATAAAAAATGCATACTTTTTGTACTTCCTTTTAAAAGTGTTAAATGAAATAAAAATAAAACCGTAGCTGTTTAATGGTTTGAAATAAGTAGAATTTCATCCTAAGCCTTATTTTGTTCTCATATTTGTGAACTACCATATAATGGATTTTTTCAGATCCAAATACACAGCAAAACATTGAATTAGCAGTGTCTTCATTGATAAGATGGCTGTGGGGTAGCCTCGTGGTTAAATCATTTACTTGTCACGACGAAAACCCAGGATCGATTCCCCACATGGGTACAATGTGTAAAGCCCATTTCTGGTGTCTCTCACCTTGATATTGCTGGAATATTGCTAAAATTCAATGATAATGATATACTGCAGGGTTTGTAGGTTACATGTCATGGATCAAAACGTCGCCAACATGTTTTTATCGTAATAGTGCATATATTGTAGGACAATCATGCTCTAAAACATATTATTCGGGTACAATGTAGTGATTTCAAGGGTTCAGATACGTGATGTGATAGGATTAGTGGTAAGGATGTGACGATGTACATTCACATTACGATTGATCCTCTATAAATGTATCCGTGTATGACATAGTGTTTGTTAAAAACCTCATACTTCTGTTTTGTTGGGTTTTGTAAAACTGAGAATGACATGGATTTGTTACACCACCACCAAGATCATTTTAACAATAAATATAATCCAATCAATTTTGAGACTAATAGAAAAATATTTCAAAAATAACCAGTCAAAACAAGTTCGATTTTATATAATATTTATAAAGAACTAAAAAAGATTCATGTGTCTTTTTATCACCTACCAATTCAAATCCAATCCTATCTTTAATATGCATAAATATGCATCTTTACATTTTTTAACCTGGCGACCAAATATTTCAATTTCAAATTCTGTAAACCCTAACCAGGAAGGTGTTGTCTTGTCTGTGTTTAGCTAGTATTGTCTCGTTATGCATGTCGCTCACATTTTCAGTTTGTTTTGTACTTTGATGTAGACATATTATGACACCCATCCACATCACAATCCTCATGTGAGTATGAAAGATGGCCTTACTAACACAGGAGTGCTCCACTAACGCTGTCACAGAGACCTGTCTATTCAGAACTTGCCATTATTCATGTTTCTTTCGACTGTTTACTTTGTTTCTTTAAAATGTAGAACTTTGTTATTTTAACCAAACCAGTTTTCAGTCTAAATTTAAGGGATACTAGAGCAGAGGAGGCATGGTTGCCCTATTGTCCATGGCCACCCCAGTTTGCTGTACAGAGTTGCCTCCCTTTGGCATGCCACTTACTCTGGCTTGCCGTTGAATTGGTTCGAATCCCTGTTCACCCTGATTATGTCTCATGGTTTATCAGCACCAAACCCAAGTCACTAGTTGCTATGACTCTGAGTCTCGGAGAATTACATCCTCGTAGTAGTGATTGCAGTGACTAGATACATTATAACAGAATGGACACTATCAGTCTGCAGGAAATACCAGCTTCAGGATTCTCTTCTCCACAATTTGCCATTATTAAATTTGGAAATAGCACTCATCATTGCAGTTCATGTTTTCTTCTGAAATATTCAGTCTGGCTTTTTTCTTCTGTTACTTTTTGTTTGATTTTCTTTTTCCTTGGAGGATACTGAGAATTTCTCTAAGGTTAATGATACTTTACAGTGTTTTTGATATTCTCTTAGCTGTTCACTCAGCAGAACCTGTAGCCCAACAAGGTTCATTGACCATACAGAGTTGCCTCCTTTGATGTCTGTATCCATTGGTATTTCAGTTTAAATCTGATATTCCCAGATTAATATGTATGGTATGTAGGCACCATGTCCCTGTCCATGTAGTGAATCTGAGAAGTGGAAATTTAAGCTGACATACTGTGACACAATTGAAATATGCTTGAGTTTTGAACCCAAATGCTTTCAACTAACACATCTGCTGCTACTTTATCTCATGCTTGGCTGATTTGCTGTGTATCTGTAAATATAATTTGTACAAGGATATATCTACTTACTGATACAATGTAGGCGTAATTTGTGGATGGAGACTTCTTTAATATACTATTAACCTGTGAAGGTCCGAGTTAGAATTGGCCCTCAGCAACCCATACTTTTATAATTATAGGAGGTGACTAACAGGATTGAGTGGTCAGGCTCGCTGACTTGGTTGACATATGTCATCGGTTCCCCATTGTGTAGGGTGATGCTCATGCTGTTGATCACTGGATTTTCTGGTCCAGACTCAACTATTTACTATTTGCTGAGTGCAATTTTAAACAACAAACAATCAAACCATTTCGTGTTATAGCAACATTTTGCAATCTTGTACCGTTGTGGTGTAGTGGTTAGAGCGTCTGCCCGGAGAGCGGAAGGTTGCGGGTTCGATCCCAATCGCGTCATACCAAAAGACGTTAAAATATGGTACTTGCTGGCCCCTGCCTGGCGCTCGGCATTAATGGGTACAACAAGGACTGTCGGCTCGGAGTCAGTATAATGTGTCTGAGTGGGGTATTCATGCTTCACTGCGGCATGGTATCTCAGTTGGCTAGCACTATAAAACCAGCTTCAGTCTGGGCTGGTACAAGCAGCCGCACATCCACATACACACGCATGCACGTCGTCATATGAGCGAACTATTCTCAAGCACGACGTTAAACCCAATTTCACCTCACCTCACCTTCAATAGTCTTATAAATTCCATACCGTTTGACAACAGTAGAAGATCAACTCCAAGAAGTCCCAATATGAGTATTTAGAAGTTGTTATCCATAAATTGTGTCTACTTTGCCATCCATCAAGAAATGCTCACCGAACAATTGATACTGATTGTATATTCTAGATGCTACAGAAATGTGGACTATATTGCTCTAATGTTGCAATTGGACATTGGTCATCTTCCTTATCAACCACTAACAGCCATTTTGGATTCATTCTATTTATACAATATATATTCTTTTTTCTTCCACTTTCTACATTTAACACTTGTGTCTCATGAATCAGACAGTTAATCATGGGAAGGCTCATCTGTCGACGGGGTATTCACAAACCTTCATTGTGTTCACATGCTCTAAGTGTGTTTGGAGAGGAGATCAACTTTAAGTTTTGAGTTTTCATTGTCTTTGATAGTTTTGTGCATCTTTCATGATTGTATTTGTTGTAATGCAAACAAAATGGATGTTTTTATCAAAATCTTAACATGCTTTTTCTCACTTTAGTTTGATTTTCTATTTTCTGTTAAAATATAATGAATGTTATTAATTATGAATTCAGCAATATGAATTTTACACATTAAATCTTGCTATATGTTTTGTTTGTATAAGGGCTTTTTATTTCTTTTTATTGCATTTTCTTTTTTTGCTCAAATATATAGGGAAACATATAAGAAATTTCAAGGACTGACATTGGCTGATGTCAGTATGCATGTCATGCCGAATGTCCTGCATAGATATGGCTCATGGTTTATAGTAAGTGATGCATATGGCACAGTAGGTAGTGTTGTATGTAAGAGAGAATAAAACAACACAGGACTGTTCTTCTCCAGCCTTAGTTGGGTACATGTGAACCGGTCCTTGGGTCCGCAGATTGCTGCATGCCAGGGACCTGTGTTTCTGGGTTCAAATGTTATTTCACCCTATTTTGCGGTTTGTTGACACCAAACCTGTGTTGGTTCGGGTAAGACAAAGTGACATGGTGTACAATAGCTGATATTTAATAATCAATCAACAAGAAGGACTATACCACTCTTGAATGTCTGTTGTAGAGGTAGAGTGAGTGAGTGAGTTGTTTTATGTGGCTTTTAGAAATGTGAAGCCCATTTCTGGGGTCCCCCGCTGTGATATTGCAGGAATATTGCTAAAAGAGTCCTAAAACTAAACTCACTAACTCCCTGAAAGTGTACTTCAGTCCAGTTCCACAGAGGGATTTTAGTGCTAAGACTGTTGACCCTGTGTTGTTTCAGGATCGGCCCCGCCCAGGCAAGACGACGCCCTCCAACCGTGACAGTCAGAGTCTGACTCAGCTGGACTTGATCAGTTCCGACGGGGAGGAACAAAGTGGGGGTGACCTGAGTGGTGACCAAAGCCCAAGCCAGCCATCTCAAGATATGCTACCGGCACCAGGGCCTGCAGTGAGTACACCCTCAGCTTGGACTCGTCCATTTGTGTCCGCTCTGTTAATAGCACTCCTGTTCTAACCAGGGCTCGATTTAAGTGATGTTAACCTACTTGCACCAGGTGCAACCTAAGATAAAAACCTAGTTGCACCAGCCAAATTCCAGTTGCAATGTAGTGTGTTAAAACAGGTTTCGGTGCACATAAACATATTTCTATCATGTAGTACCTGTGAATCCATAGCAACACAGAGACACAGCTGATCCCAGTTTACAATCTTGAGCTGTCATAGCCGAGACGTGTCTATAAATAACAATTGCCATAGCTATTCAAAGTTTAGAAAAAATTGAGTTGACATATTTATGCTTATAATGTTAGATTTATTGTTGATTTATTTCTCAAAAACTTACTTGCACCTGGTGCAAGTTAGACTAATAACTAGGTTGCACTTTGCTATAATGGGTTGCACCAGTGCAAGTAACAAAGCACTAAATCGAGCCCTGCTAACCCACCCCGAAAAACATCCCAGCAAGTCCTTCAGTATCTCTTTTTTGACCTCACCCCACCAGACCCGACAATCAAACTAAACAAATCAATTTCTGATGCCCCCCACCATGATATTGCTGGTATATAGCTAAAAGCCTACTGTAAATCCTTACTCCCACAAATAAAAATAATAATATAATAATAATAATAAAAAATAATAATAATAATAATTACTCACACACTCATTCACTGCTTGTCGTAGCAGGCAACTATTGGGTGGGTGTATTCCCAAATGTACCATACTTTACAACTGACCACTTTCTAAAAGGCAAAGTATATTGATCTGATCTGGCCTCATTGCTGTCAAAACACTGCCCTTATCGTTTAAGTCAGGCATAAAACAACATATCACCGAGTCTGTTGTAAACAACAAACAAACTAACTAACAAACAAGATTTTATGCTGGGTGCGTTGCAAGCCTGGAGTAAGCAAATGAATCACTTATCCCAGGCTTGCAACAGCTCGACGCGTTTCTCACTCTTCCAAAATGGCGAAGCGATTACAGTTTGTTTGTCTGGCTCAAATGAAGAAGGTATAAGAAGAGTCTTGATGACAAGCTGATGAAAATTATGATTGTTGATAACTACATTAAAGATGTGGAACAAACTGAGGATGCTGGGATGTAAGCTGCCTTTACCATTTCCCAGCAGATCGTGTCAAAAAATTCTTGTTCAGCCGTCAAATTCAAATTTCCCTAAGCAGCCATTTTGGTTTGAGAACGAAGTGACCTCATCCAGCGATGGGTGCGATTGAAAGCAGCGGGAAGTTAGCAGTCCGTTGTCAGATGAATCGCTGTGCATCGCAAGCGATTGGTTGTTTGCAGCGCACCCTATAACACGCCTCACTGTTGTATTCCAGGGTCAGAGCTCCTTCCAGATCACACCAATAGATGGAACACATCCATTGTTAATCTTCATCAATCCAAAGAGTGGAGGCAAACAGGGGGGAAAGTAAGTATTGCATGATAGTTCCCTCAATGCACAAAGCATGTATGTCTTCTTCAAGGAAGCTTTGCATGTGTAACAATCCATCTGTGACGAAGGAGTAAGAATATACCTGAAACGTCGTGTCCCTCATATTGACATCCATAAATGTCACGTGACTTTCTGTTTGATCAGATTTTCATCTCTTTTTATCAGATTTTAGTTGCATTGAATTTGTCCTGATCTATATAATACTCATGTTTTTTTCGATATTTTCATCTTTCCATGATACACAAACGATTGTCATAAAATCTCAAGCAAAACTCTCTGTCAAACGTTCAGCAGTATGGGAGAGAAGAGGGGTTTAACAGTGGGAATTATTTTGTAACTCTTTGAGTATATGATGAATGTCTATGTTCAATAGCTGATTAATAAATGGATGTTTGTTTGTTTCAGGCTTTTGCGGAAATTTCAATATTTATTAAACCCTAGGCAAACATACGACATGATAAGGAATGGGCCAATGGTGGGGTAAGTGTTCAGCTTTGTCAGACCAAGGCTTTGGTGTGTTTGTTCAGTTCTTGTAATTCTTGGCTGTACACTACCTCTATTACATCATAGCCATCAATCCTATATTTTGCCTGTCATGACACAAAAACTGAAACATTTTAACAGGTCCCTTTCTCTTTCAACTATCCATAATCAGTTGTGTGAGAAAGTAGTATTTCAGTTTTCATTCACTAATGATAGAAGTTGATGTGTTTGGCAAAACAGTTCAACCACCTACATGTTTTTAAAGTCCAATTTATCAACAAACTAAGCCTAAGAGTCCAAATGCTCAATTAGAAATAAGAATCCTCATTCTGTCTTGATGTTTCTTTGTACTTGCCATATTAAGACCCCTTCTCCAATAAGTGACCCCTTTTATCAGTTTTCTAACCTACTTGTGTGCTTATTACACGAATACAGTAGGTGTATTATCAATAATGTTTTCATTCACATGTTCCTGATATCATTATTCTTTCCTTCCACAGGCTTCAGTTTTTAAAGGATGTACCAAACACCCGTATTTTAGTGTGTGGTGGAGATGGTTCCGTCGGTTGGTTACTTGATACAATGGGTAAATGAATTTTTTGACAAAATATTTTTTCTTAATATCGAATGCATTTTTGAAATTGTTTTAATTATACAAACAGATTTACAATTCCTCTGCATCCTTTTCTCTGTTCTAGCACACAACCCATATCCTATATTCCAACATATATACTACCCATCAAAAGTTTAGACTCACTCAATATGCTCACTATATGTTATGAATATATATGTGGTTACATCGAAGATGAATTTCTGCCCTAACTTGGGGGAACCAACTGCAAACCTTATGCAGATGAATTGCACGAGGATCATGCATCAAATTGCTGAAATGCATGTGCAAATATCGTACATGTGAACAGATACGTTTTGGTGTAAGGTTTTGTTAAGAATTCGCCAATTTTCACTCAGTTTCATCATTTATAGAACTCATGACAATAATCTTTTAAATGTTACGAATTTGTTTTACAATACATCAGTTCATGTTTAAACAGTAACTCTAAACACTATGGAATAGTTTAGATCAGTAGACTGAAGTAAGTGGCTACATTTACACTAGTGAGTCTAAACCTATACATGGCCAACTACAGAAACCGTAACATATTGATATATGAGACATTATATAAATCATGGTTTTCCTACTGTGAAGAAAGGTGCAAAAAATAGTAGAAAAAAGAAATAAAAACATGAAGAAACTTAAAGAAAAAGAACTTCATTCTTCAAATGTTTAATATTTCATTGGTTATGTCCCTTGTTACAGACAAGTTGGCCTTGAACTACCAACCTCCGGTTGCAGTGCTACCTCTTGGAACAGGAAATGACCTTGCAAGGTGCATGCGGTGGGGTGGAGGTAAGCAAACAGGGATCACATCGATCTTTATCTCAGCCAGGAAATACATCATTCTTCTGTTTCTACTGTATGTTATCTGACACGATTGCCAATTGCCTGACATACTTTCTGCAATGCAAGTTTTAAGCACATGCATTGTGGATGTACTTGCTAAAGTGATAAAACTGCACAAAATATGTATGAATATCAGAGAATGATGATCATCTATTGAGAATGTACTGCATGAAATTTCTGTGCAACATATTCGTTTTGTATTTGCTTTCATATATTTATTGATTTATTATATATATATATACTGTATTTTGAATTTGATTACCTGTTTTGTTACTTTTGTACAATATTGCAAGTCGAGAGAACTTAGGTTTAAATGAGTATTTATTACAAATATTGTCTTACCAGCTTTCATTGCTCATTGCTAAGGTCCAGTTACCTGTAAATGTCCTTAAATGACAAGCCAGAGGTTAAACATGGGGTGTTTCTTCAAAGTATTGGCCATATTCAACAGCGCTTGACCCCCGAGACCTAACTCTCAACTATAACAATAATAATAAGAACATTGTAAGTCTGGGCCCCGTTTCACAAAGCTCTTGGAGCGCTACGACTGTCGTAAGTCAGTGTTTCAGTATAGGAGGTACGAATGCTACGAGAAAAGTTACGAGATCCTAGGCTTACAAGAGCTTTATGAAACGGGGCCCTGGACAAGTACAGACAAACAGACACATGAAACCACAAAAACATACTAATCGCTTCTGTCAATACATTTCTATGGTTACACACTCACTCTCACTCTCATACACAAACACTATTGTCAGCACAACAAGTAATGGTTATAGCCTTAACCTAGAATACCCACCAAAGTACCCATGAAGGTCCGGGTTAGAATATTGATCTTCAGTAACCCATGCTTGTCATAAGAGGCGACTAACGAGAATCGGGTGGTCAGACTCACTGACTTGGTTGACACATGTCATCTTATCTCAATCGATGCTCATGCTGTTGATCACTGGATTGTCTGGTCCAGACTTGATTATTTACAGACCGCCGCCATATAGCTGGAATATTGCTGAGTGCGGTTTAAAACTAAACGCACTCACTCACCCACCACAGCCTTCAGTGACAGTAGACATTACACTTAGCTCATGTTGCAGGTTATGAAGGCGAGAGTCTGCTCAAAGTGTTGAAGCGTATTGAACACAGTACGTGCATCATGCTGGACCGGTGGCAGATCGAGTTCAGCAAACCAGAGGGAACAGATGAGGAGGAAGGGGATCCCATCCCCTACAACATCATCAACAACTACTTCTCCATAGGGGTGGTGAGTGACTTGTGGATGTCATGGAACACATACATGTATACAGTGGGGACTTTTACACAAGATCCGAGTCAGAACTGTCTTCAGCAACCAGAGTCAGAACTGTCTTTGTCAACCAGAGTCAGAACTGTCTTTGTCAACCAGAGTCAGAACTGTCTTTGTCAACCAGAGTCAGAACTGTCTTTGTCAACCAGAGTCAGACACTGTCTTTGTCAACCAGTCAGAGTGTCTTTGTCAACCAGAGTCAGAACTGTCTTTGTCAACCAGAGTCAGAACTGTCTTTGTCAACCAGAGTCAGAACTGTCTTTGTCAACCAGAGTCAGAACTGTCTTTGTCAACCAGAGTCAGAACTGTCTTTGTCAACCAGAGTCAGAACTGTCTTCAGCAACCCATGCTTGTCGTAAGAGTCAACCAAAGAGGCGACTAGCAGGATTGTGTGGTCAGACTGGCTGACTTGGTTGCCACGTATCATTGTATCCCATTCCGTAGATCGATGTTCAGGATGTTCATCACTGGATTATCTGGTCCAGATTCCATCATTTACAGACCGCTGTCATATATATAGCTTGGATATTGCTGATGTGGTGTTAAACAACAAACAAACAAATTTTACCATGCAACTTGCCATGTGATGAGACGTATTTGTGGATGACAAGGCAGCCTGTGTGTTGTCAAGTCTGGACCAGACAATCCAGTGATCAATACTGTGGGCAATGACCCTTGCTGTAAGGATGCAATGACACGCAATCATCCAGGGCACTGAGACTGACCACACAATCCATTAAGTCACTTCTTAAGACCAACATAAGGGGGTGGTGGGTAGCCGAGTGGTTAAAGCATTCGCTTGTCATGCCGAAGACCCGGGTTTTATTCCCCACATGGTACAATGTGTGAAGCCCATTTCTGGTGTCCCCCGCCGTGATGTTGCTGGAATATTGCCAACAGCAGCGTTAAACTCACTCACTCACTAAGACCAACATATGTTGATGAACTATTCTAACACAGGATTTCCATGGAGGAATATCATTATAGCTAAGAAAGCAGAAATTACAAGTCATATTCTCAATTCTTATATTCTCATATTGTGGAATGTCCATATTCTCATGTTCTGTTTCAGGATGCATCAATATGTCATCGGTTTCACATCATGAGGGAAAAACATCCAGAAAAGTTTAACAGCCGGTGAGTGGTGACTGCATTGATTCTTGTGTAAACTCAACTGTCTTGACCTTCTTGAAATATGGTTACAGAATAACTATCAGATATAAACATGGTTCAACATTTCATCTTTGTTTTCCAGGATGAAGAACAAATTTTGGTATTTTGAGTTTGGCACATCGGAGCAGTTCAGCTCCACTTGCAAGCATCTACATGAAGACATTGACATTATGGTGAGGACAATCAACTTCTCAAGAATACCTCAGTCATCCTCGATCTCTATTCTGTTGTATTAGATACATTGATGTCACCAACTTAGATCTAGGGCAGTACAGCTTGAGATAAAGCCCCACAGGACACCACATGAAACCATATTCCCCAAGACAACAAATTGATCTTACTACCATGTTTACCATTTGACACATTTTGAAACAAGATGTCAATGAGCTTTTGTTGTCATTTTGCAAGAAAATATTTGGTTTATGATTAGGCTCTGTGCATCACATGCATATTAAGACAGTGATCCTTAACATAAGGGTGTGGTGGGGTGGCCTTGTGGTTAAAGCATTCGCTCATCACGCCGAAGACCCGGGTTCGATTCCCCACATGGGTACAATGTGTGAAGCACATTTCTGGTGTCCCCAACATGATATTGCTTGAATATTGCTAAAAGCGGCGTAAAACCCAACTCACTTACTCACTTAACATAAGTCTTTTCACTGTAAGGAGCATAAATTGCAGAGATCACAAATATGGGCACGTCTTTTCAATAATGATGGAGCGTATTTTGCAGTGATACAGTTATATATCTCTGTAAGGGGGTACACGGATACTAAAACATCATTAGTCAGTCAAATGTATTTATGTAATTAATATTATATTAATATGATATTGGTTTCCCCTCCTCCCAGTGTGATGGTTACTCTCTGGATCTGGCCAACGGCTCCCCCCTGGAGGGTATTGCTCTACTCAATATTCCAAGTATCTATGGAGGTACCAACCTGTGGGGTGAAAACCCTAGCCAGAAGAAACGACGGAAAGCTCAAAAAGCAAAGAAGGACAAAGACAAAGAGTTCTCCACGAGCAGCATGTCGTCAGCAGAACTCAACTCTGCTGTGCAAGGTCTGTTTTGTTGATTTGTTGTTTAATGCCACTCTGTGATATTCCACCTATATCACAGCGCGGTCTTTCTCGAACATTACTGACAACACATTAAAATAATACATGTAAGAATAATAATAATAATAATAATGCTAATTTTTGGGCCTAGGATCCAATGCAATGCTGTCCTCTGGCGTTACATTATTACCCTGACGGAATTGTACTTTCAAAGCCGCTACTAAGTGCTTTGCACGACCATATAGGTCCATACAGCCGCTTCTCAACAGCGGGGTGGACTGAGTGCAATGTGGATGAAGTGCTTTGCCCAGGGACACAACACAGTATGAGTCCCAGGTCACAAATTTTTGGTGTTTGGTGTCTCCACTGGGATTCGAACCCGGGCCTTTGGCATGAGAGACCAGCATGCACACCGCTACACCACATGTATAATATCTGTAACCATCAAACCTAGATATGGTCTTAATGGGGGGTTTCCAATAAACCATGAAATGAAAATGAAATGTCAAAAGATTGTGACAAAAATTCATGCCTTAACTCACTTGATGATTCACAAGAATAAATAGATAAATCTGAATAATGTGCTTGTGATTTCTGAAAACAAATGTTTGATTCATAATTGTGACTTACACTGTTTTGTGCATTTTGGGATATTTAGTTCTTAAATGTTATTCAAGTAAAAAATGTCAATGCAATTAATGATAATTTGTATTTTGTTCATTTTTGGTCATTTTGATGTAGTTTAAATTCTTTCTCAAAAACTGGTGTAGTTGAGTTGCCGTTATTTTAATCTGTTGATAAAATATTGGACATTATTTCTTGGAACCTGCAGCTGCAGTAGTCACAGTTATTCCATGTTTATTATGCATCATACAACATTGCATTTTATGAAACCTTTTGGCATACTGACATATATATCCAGTATTGACTGTTTAGGAAAGAGATTGGTAATAAATTACATTGTATACTTTGCAGAAATTAGGTGAGAGAGTGCCAAATAAAATATAAATGTGACCAAAAGGTCTGTTTGCTTCTTTTGTTTTTATGTTGAATGTCTGTTGCAGATGTTGGGGACAAGCTGATTGAGGTGGTGGGTCTGGAGAACAGTATGCATGTTGGTCAGGTCTATGCCGGGCTGCGGGCATCCGGCAAACGTCTTGCTCAGTGCTCACAAGTTGTCATTAGGTATGTTTTGGTGGCAAAATGTTGTCATTAGATGGATATCAGTGATCACAACTTGTCATTAAATGCATCAGTGCTCACAAGTTGGATATCAGTGCTCACAAGTTGTCATTAGGTATGTTTTGGTGGCAAGATGTTGTCATTAGATGGATATCAGTGATCACAACTTGTGATAATATGTGTCTGTGCTCACAAGTCATCATTAGGTATGCATCAGTGCTCACAAGTTGTCATTAGGTATGTTTTGGTGGCAAAATGTTGTCATTAGATGGATATCAGTGATCACAACTTGTCATTAAATGTGTCAGTGCTCACAAGTCATCATTAGGTATGCATCAGTGCTCACAAGTTGTCATTAGGTATGCATAAGTGCTCACAAGTCGTCATTAGGTATGCATCAGTGCTCACAAGTTGTCATTAGGTATGTTTTGGTGGCAAAATGTTGTCATTAGATGGATATCAGTGATCACAACTTGTCATTAAATGTGTCAGTGCTCACAAGTCATCATTAGGTATGCATCAGTGCTCACAAGTTGTCATTAGGTATGCATAAGTGCTCACAAGTCATCATTAGGTATGCATAAGTGCTCACAAGTCGTCATTAGGTATGCATCAGTGCTCACAAGTTGTCATTAGGTATGCATCAGTGCTCACAAGTTGTCATTAGGTATGCATCAGTGCTCACAAGTCATTAGGTATGCATCAGTGCTCACAAGTCGTCATTAGGTATGCATCAGTGCTCACAAGTCGTCATTAGGTATGCATCAGTGCTCACAAGTCATTAGGTATGCATCAGTGCTCACAAGTCGTCATTAGGTATGCATCAGTGCTCACAAGTCGTCATTAGGTATGCATCAGTGCTCACAAGTCGTCATTAGGTATGCATCAGTGCTCACAAGTTGTCATTAGGTATGCATCAGTGCTCACAAGTCTTCAGTAGGTATGCATCAGTGCTCACAAGTTGTCATTAGGTATGCATCAGTGCTCACAAGTTGTCATTAGGTATGCCTCAGTGCTCACAAGTTGTCATTTAATATGTGTCAGTGCTCACAAGTTGTCATTTAATATGTGTCAGTGCTCACAAGTTGTCATTAGTTATTGTTCATGCTATCAACCATTATTTGGCAGAACCAGATTGATTCATAGTCCTCAATGGTATAGCTGTGTATTTTGTAACACAGTACCTTTCTCATGTACAACATAAACATCTATTACCCGTACTAAACTTTTCATGTGGATGATAGATTAGTCTTTTGAAACACACTTGACATTTTGAGAAATAGTTTTGTATATCCTGGAGGAGAAAAATGCAAGAATTGAAGTAGTATATAATGAAATTATAACACAGCAGATGTCATCATTACCATGATTAATGATTGATTGATATACTGGTGGTAATATAACATTTAGCTACCAATTAAGACAACAGGCCGATACTGAGAGAAAAAGGCATGCATTGTAAAGTGTGTTATTTGACCTATTTCACATCTTGCTTTCAGAACAAGAAAACGATTTCCAATGCAAATAGATGGCGAACCCTGGATGCAACCACCGTGCACTGTGAGTAGGAGACAAACCTCCGACATTCAACACGTGTAGATTATGAACACCAGTTTGTACATCACAATAATAATAAGGCCCCTTATTTAGCCCTAAACTCCACACCACACATGCATGCTGTAACTGCATACAACATGATCAACATTTTTACCCCGTATAACTCAAGCTGCCTGTGAGGAGCTAGAAGGTTCATAGTCGTATGACTTATCCAGCCAGGTACCCATTTTCTGCTGGGTGGACAGTGGCAATTTTGAACAAACTTGATTATTTCTTTATATGGGCATCACATGACAAGCACTTATAACATGTTTACGCCTACGTTTAAGCCACAAATAACACAGCTACTGGATACAAATTGCATCTTGGAATAATTGCATACATCTAGCTGTTGTATTTTGATTTTCCTAAAAGGGAATGGATTGGTTTGGTATCAAAGACACAGCCTTTTGAGTTGCCTGCCTTTGGCACACCTTAAACTATGATAGTGGGTTCGAATCTTTGCTTCCACATCAAGCTTAGACACTGTGGTATTACTCGAATAAGGTTTAAGCCCAACTCTCTTACTCATTCACACCTTTTCCTAGGACATGCTTGTCATAAGAGGCGACTAATGGGATTGGGAGGTCAGGCTTGCTGACTTGGTTGACACATGTCATCGTATCCCAATCATGTAGATCAATGCTCAAGGTGTTGATCATTGGATTGTCTGGTCCAGACTCGATTATCCAGGCTTGATGTCACTGTTTTACTTACAGATCTATGTTACACACAAGAACCAAGTGCCCGTACTGATGGCGCCCCCGTCAAACAAGAAGTCCAAGCTTTTCAAACTTTTTAAGAAGTAGCTCAGTCTGTGCAGTGCAAGGTGAAGGTGAGTGTAAGAACCAGTTTAACGAACAATACCTGGACTTTGGGACTTTATGTACTCAACTGTACATTGACCATCCATCAAACCCGTGAAGATCCAGATTAGAATTGGTCTTCAGCAACCCATGCTTGTCGTAAGAGGCGAATTACAGGATCGGGTGGTCAGGCTCAGACCCAGAGACTGACACATGTATTGGAGAATTCATGATTGAGTTAAAGAACCCTGTAGGTGAGAGTCGATTGTATTTCAACAGGTGCGAGTAATTTTTCCAACCATGTTATGCTATATGTATAATTTCACTTTAATTTTACATATTAGCCTATAAATGCATTATTGTTGCACATCCAGAATGGCCACTATTTCATTGTATCCAAATTTTGTAGACCAATGCTCATTCTGTTGATCATTGGATCGTCTGTTCCAGACTTGATTATATACAGACCGCCGCCATATAGCTGAAATATTGCTGAGTGCAGCGTTGAACAACAAACAAACAAAAAATGGATCATTGCTGCTCATTCAGAATGGCCACCGAGTTCTTGTCTCAGAATCAGTTAACAACAATAGAATTACATCATAATGGTTTAAAATGTGTGAAGATTCAGGTTAGAATTTGTCTTCAGCAACCCATTCTTGTCATAATAGGCAAATAACGGGATTGGTTGGTCAGGCTCGCTGACTTGGTTGACACATGTCATATACCAGTTGTGCCATTTGAGACTGACATCCAATGATCGAGGGAAACACAAAGCGCCTTTGAGCAAGTGATCTGGATATTGGTGCTATATATATATATATATAAACAACAACAACAGTTGTGTAGATTGATGCTTTTGCTTTTGATCGCTGGATTGTCTGTTCCAGACTCGATTATTCACAGACCGCCGCCATAAAGCTGGAATATTGTGGTGTTAAAACACAAACCAACCAACAAATATACAAATGTAATGGTTTAACCTTGTATTGCAGGCTATCCTTGCATTGTGGAACATTGTGGATCAGCAAGTTGAGCCCTTCACAGCTAATCTAGCGCAGTAGCCCGAGGTCCATATATAGGCTGATGCAGGTCATCGCTTTTACCAGTTGTAGCCCCGGTCAATAGCCATGTCCGCTGTCTCGGCCATACTTCTTGGTGCAATATTAAACAACCATAGCTTTTTACATGACGGCATCCTCCCATCTTGTTTCTTGTTACTGAGTGTAGCCCAAATCCCATCTCAGTAGTTATCAAAATTGTCATTTCTTTGTTGCCATGGTTACCTCCATTTCTTTTTGATGATTTATATCATTTAGATTTCTATTTTATGTTTATATGTTACATGCTTATCACTTCACGAGAAACTTTATATTTTTTTCCCCTTTATTATTTAATATTCATATTGGGAATTTCAGCATTAATTTTGTAGAAATCTATTTATTTTTTTGTAGTTTTTGTTTATATATTTTAATTTCTTAGGAATGTATATTTTTTTACATTCCTGATTTCAAGGAATCAGAAATAAAGCAACAGATGGGTGTGAACTGTACGAAGAATTATCTTGTCATAATATTTCAGTTTGGGTCATTTTCTAGAAATTTAAACAATCAGTCATACTAGTAAAGGGGGATTTCCATATATTGAGGGACATTTTGATATTGCTGTATACTACTTTCACTGTTACACTCAGGTATTTTTGATGTGCAATTTGCAATATTTGATATGCCACATCTCTAAATGTAATATTGTACCAAGAACTACATCACTGAAACCCTCTTCCCTATATATGCCATTAGACTATTCCATATGAATGTGTGGAAGATACCAAGAATGCATGGTAGGGGCTATAACATAGGTCTAGATTACATCAACCCCACAACCAATGGGCAGCTAAATAAGATAATAATTTCAATGCCAAATATATGTTCTTAGTGATGTGTTCTGACACTGTTCATGGTCGAATCCGTTGACAGATGTAATAAGCATAGTTCTGTGAATGCTGAGTATATTTATTTGAAGGCTCAATCATGTGAACTTTTTCACTATGGCCTTGAAATTAAACAGTTATCAAAGTGTTTCCATAGCTTTTCTGAAGACAGCTATGCTGCTTTATTGAGGGTTTAACCAATATTTTAAATCGATTTTCAAGCATGTAAATGTTTATGATGGTGATTTGGAGACTTAAAACTTTCTGACATAGTGCATGTTTCACATGTTGATAGTTCTTGCTTTATGTATCACATCCACACAGAGAATAATCAGTCACTTCTATCCACAAATACTGAATCCATAGGATGTAAAATGCTAAAAAGGTTAGAAAATTATATGAGCCAGTGAGTATGCAATATTCTAGCGCCAGAAATGGGACACCAGAAATGGGCTTCATACATTGTACCCATGTGAGGAATTGAACCTGGGTCTTCAGCGTGGACGCTTTAACCATTAGGACGCTGAAATTTAACCATTAGGCTACCCTTCATCCTTTGAAGTACTGTTAGATAAATTTAGTTTATCTGTAGAGCAAATCCATTTTATTAATGGATAACTGAAAATCTAAATGTAAATGGACTGATGTAGTATGGAGTTGTCTGTAAATAGGCTGATAATGCTCACTGTAGCTATTTCTGATTGAGACCAGCTGAGATATATACCATGTAAAGAATTTCAGTCACTGATATTCTGATGTTAAAGTGAAGGTGAGAGAAATGGTTGATAAAAGAATTTATTCTGAGGCTGTGAGGTGGCAGGAAAAGCATGATTTTGTACTCAAACACACACACACAAAAAACGATTTTCTTCAAACATTATGACTGAAAATAGAAAACGAGGTGTATGTGCATGATTGAATAAGTTAACACTAATGTGTTAGGTTGATGGCTGTGACTGTTAGTTATTTTGTACTGTCTGTTAGGAATATCAGCTCAGAAGTTACAGAAAATCTTAGAGCGTAAAACTGAAGGCTTCATAAACTTCATAACGTGAAACAGCTGTAGGTACAAATAATATCTACCTTCCCTGCAGCAAAAGATGGGTTTCAGAAATTTTTCAAGCCCTGAATATTTAAGACTCAGTAGGTCGTTAATTTTTGGGGAGTATTATATCTGTGCTTATGTCTTCAGGATGGTTTATTTTGTAATTCATGGACATTCTTACTTGGAACCAGGAAACACTTGATACTGTTTAATTTCAAAGCCCTATTTCATAACAAGGAACAATAACTTGATCAGACTCATGGCAGTTCGTGGCTCGTCATTGTCGCAATTAAACAACGTTTCCCAGCCTCACATGCCTCCGTTCGGACCTTCAACCCAAGTTTTTTTAATCCTATAAGTATTTTGTTTCCTGTCCATTAATCTTTATGTGCATACATGCATGGAACATCAAGTTTTGCAAAACCTACTTGTGATATATGTGAACATAATGCCTTCTGTATACAGTGATGTTAATGTTGTGTATGATCGATTGCACTTACTGTCATGCTTGTGTCTACTGAGTCTGGTGTACTTTGCTATACCAGCCAAACAAGAGCTTATTCGTGCTCTACCCAAGGTTAACCTATATGGAAAATTTGACCATTCTTGTGCCTATTTCTAAGTAGAAACATTATCTCTATGGTAGTTTGCCAGGAAACAAAGAATTAGTGTCTCCGTCGTAGTGTTTGTAGATTTCTTAATGTATAAAATGTCTGATTCCCAATCAGACCTCAATACAGTGGAACCTGTTTAATCCGGACATTGCCAATTCCAGGCAATTCATTCAGATAATATTATTTCAGGATTATTTGTTCTGGTATGGAGTGATGTCTCTCAGAATATATATATATAGGTGTCATCAGTAATTGTTCAATTGATTAAAGATTGTCTGGATAAAAAGGGTTTCACTGTACCTGTAAGATTACATTTTGGGTAGGTTTCATTTATGATCAATCTAATTTGTGGTAGTATTCTTGTAGAAAAAAAGAGTGATTTATAAAGAAACATGATTTTTGTGTAAGAGGTAATAAATAGATCATAGAATAGAACGTCTATAGGTCTTGTAGCCAATCAGCTTAGAGTAACAGATAGAATGACCTAGTAATACAAGTGACATTCTGCAGGAGTGAATATGCTTTTTGTTTTCATGATGAATATATGGTATTCATTTCCTTAAGACATATTTTTCTAAATTGTGTAATTTCAGAACTAACAGGAGAACATTGAAGCCTTCACTTTTTCAGCATCAGTTCTTTTAAAACTTGTAGAGATTGTTCCTGAAACTAGGCTTACCAAAATGGAGACTATGCATGATATACAATCCTTCCTTATGAAATAAGCAGTATAATTGTAGCTTTATTGAAATATTAATATATTTGAGATATTTCCCATTGATTTTGTAGTTTTGTAAATCTTTTTCCATATGGTGTAGAACTGGGTCTATTCCTGATCCGATGGGCATTGATTGCTGTACTCTATCATGATTCCCATTTTCCATCAACGCACAAAATACACCTTTCAGTATGTTACAGCCATTATTGGAATGAATATATAAATATATTTATGTCTGATGAAACAAGGAAACATCAAGCAAGAAAGCAATAATATTTTGTTAAATATCTTCGAGGGGGTCTTGCTTTTAGACATACAGCTTACCGCATGCCTGAAAATATATGTTAATGTCCAACTATGTCAAATGTACCAGAATGCACAAGTCATCACCTTGTATACATTCATATTATGGTGTTCCTTAAAGGGAGATAACCAGTATATAAGGGGGGATAACTCTTGTGAGTTGGATAAAGTGTTATCTATGAACGTAGCGGTGGTTAGTTACCAGTTTAGGAATGTTTTATTATTTGTACTCTATTATGCAAACACTTATACAATATTCAAATAAGTTGTTTTGTTTAGGGATACCCTAGTTGTCTCCCCTTGGTTTAGCTTATTTAGCATGTTAAGGCCATGATATACATCAATGCTGGACAGAGTTGCCTGGGCAATTTTTGACCATGTTGTTTTCCCTGGCATATTAAATTCATAATAAGGATTCACCTGTAGCCATCATTATGTAACCAGCTTCTGTTAATTGTTAGTGGAACCCCATGATATCGATCTAGTTGTTAGGAAATCAACCTTATTCAAGAACTCATTTCATGTTTACATTTGTTTCAGATATTGTATACCCTAATCAAAATGTGTAATTATTTTGTATCCAGAATGTATTATAATGTGAAGTCATGCACAAAATAGTGTGATTTTTTTCTCATTTAATTACATTTTTTGTTGACATATTGTGTCTGTTTTAAAAAGCAGCCTAAATATTTATCTTATACAAGTATACATTGGATAGTGGCCGATGACTTGGGCCGTAATGTCTACAGATGCCAGTGTATTTAAGTTATTCTGATGGACAGAGATCAGCATTCTGTGTTCCCCATCTGATACTCCCCTGCCTTTCTTCATACAATATTTTTATGAAATATTTTCACTATTGAACATTGTACCTATTATTTCCTGTACCAAACATGGGCCTTGGACAAGCTACAGTAATTGCAAAATACCATTTTGAAACCATTACTGATTTCCCATCATGCTATACTGAAGTCATACTTTAGCTCAACTGAATCATTTATGCTTTCATTAGTACGGTTATATATTATGTTAAGTCTGAAATGTTTTGCATTATAGAAATTTGATGAATTTACGAAACTGAAGTATTCTCTGCAAGATAAGATTATTTAAAGACAAAAATCCGTGGATAACACGTTTTGCAAAATTTCAGAAGAATGTACACCGGAAAAACAAAGATAAAAATTACACATGTCTTGAAGCAAAGTTTTGTCATATGAACCAGGTATTTCTAAAAGAAGGTATATCTAAAAATAGTCAGTAGTTACACATCTTAGAAAGCAAATGTCTTAATACAAGAAGCTAAGAACAAATGAAAATGACATAATAAACATAGACTTTGATATTTGAACCCTTACATTATTGTCCGTTAAAGCTATACTACTTAAAAAAATGTTAAGAATACTCAATTTTAGAAAGGGTGTTCTTTAACTGTTTTTTAAATGGTAATTCTTTTTATAATCTTCCCATAATATGGTCAGTTGTCTTTCATATCTCATGCATAGTCATAAAAGGTCTATATTGGATAATGATCAGAGAAATGGCATCATAGATATTAAATATAATCGTGTATATATTCAGGAACTGTCCAAGGATAGTGCAGTATTTGTCTGTCGTGAGACTTTCTGTGCCAATTTCTTCAATCTACCGGTACCAATCAAAAGCGGTGAACCAATAAGATCTGATGTAAGTAACACTATGTAACAAGGCAACTTCCTTCTTTGTATTCAACCATATATAAGTTCCGTTTTAGTATTTGTGTAGAAATTGTATGCGTTTTTTCTTCTTCACATTATATGCTAATAGTCTTTTTTGACAAATTGTGTTAATTATTTCATACTAGTTGTTGTTTTTTGTGCACTTATACGGTTCTACACACATGCCATGCCAGTCCGTTATAGTCAGAACCTATTGTGTCTTGAACAAAACCAACCCTATTACTTAGTTAATCGGTTGACACTATATGATGGTGTTTAGAAGATTCAGACAGTGCTTTGCTCAAATTTCCTCTGGCTTTAGCCTGATATTTCCGCTTTTATTGCTGATGTTATATTGAACATATTCCACCATGATCTCTGTATTATAGTTGTAAGGAATTTTCATTTTGTTATGTTGTCGTAGCTGCCAACAGTCCCGAATATTCGTTTTTGTTGCGAATTTACTATTAAAATATGATTTCGTTAATGTATACGTAGCATTACACCAGTCGATGAAAAAAACTCTCAAGGAATACATTATTGTAACTGTAAGGAAATATCTTACACTGATGGCTTGGAACACAGGCTCACCTTGTTTATCACTTGGTATGAAGTGTACAGAATCTGTCCAATCGAAACATTGCAGTCATATCATAAGTTCCTTTAGAAGTACAAACTAAAGGATAAAATTGTCGACACACTTCCGGAATATTGTCAGGTTTTTGTGTTCGGGCCAGATCGTAACAAAATGCTAATTGTGGTGAGGGAAAGTTGGCAGTTATGTTTTATTAATATTGATGGACATTTGTCAAAAAATAGTCCCACTGTTACAGCCAAAATGGTTAAAGCTGTGACACTTATTTCACACCTGTCGTTGAAGATTAAATAAAGCAGTTTCTGAATTACCAGAAGCCAATGAAGTCAGTGTAGCCAGTAAGTAGGAAAGGTAAATATTTGTCACAGCTTCCGAATGCCTTGGTCATAAACAATACCAGAGTTCTGGTTTCATAATACTGAATGTGAGTACCCCAGTATTATGTAAAATGTACTTCATATTTCTGAAATAGGGCCAAATGTTATTCTTAACATGATAGATCTTTGCAGGCAAAGATACCTAAACTATGTTATTGACTCATGAGCAATGCTATAAGATTCTGTTAAAAAATTTAAAATTGTAAATTACGTTTTTGAATGTATGATTGTTTATGTTTCAAGTGAAAACATTAACAATTTCAATACGTAACATAAACTTAGTAATTCTTTCCTACAATTAATAATTTATATTTATCAAGAATGTGACCAAGGTCATGAATATATATATTTCATGACACATTATGAATATGATTAATCAACCATATTCCTGTTTGTTTTCCTAACTTTGTTATTCTTTGTTTATTTACTGACCTCATATCATTTGAATCAGTTTGAACTATAATCAGTGCATATTGACATTTAGTTGTGAATGTGCTTGTAGATTATGACTCCTGTTTATACTAACTGTAGATTGTGGATATTCTCCTTCCAGCTCAGTGTTCTCCAGTGTATACGCATAATGTCTCAATCTTCACTGTTATACCTGGGTCCGTTGATTACCCCTACTACTGGAATTCTCAATTTGTTGATGTCATAAGATTTACATGAATGCAGATTTTTATTTGAAAACTTCATCCTACAATATGAAATGTTAAGAAATTGAAATGTGCTTTAATGTCTTTTTATCCAATTTCAATAAATATTTCAAGCCAGATTATGTTTGTGATATTTGGATGAGGATGCTGCTGATGATGCTGATGCTGATGAATGCTGCTGCTGTTGCTGCTGAAGATGATGATGGTAGTGGTGATGATATTTTACCAGCGCTTTCCTACATGATGTGTATTTTTCACAGTGTTCAGTATTTGGGCACCGCTTGCTAAGAAGGATCTTTAGCTGTAGTGGAGCCTGATGTGTCCATTGGGCATGCATGAGACCTGTAGTCCTGGGTTTGAATCCTAGATTTGCCTGATGATGTTCCCTGGTTTGTCAGCACCATACCAATACTGTCAACCGCCTCCATGGTGTAGTGGTTAGAGCGTCCGCCCAAAGTGCGGAAGGTCGCGGGTTCGAACCCCGACCGCGTCATACCAAAAGACCTTAAAATATGGTACTTGTTGGTCCCTGCCTGGCGCTCGGCATTAATGGGTACAAGGACTGGTCGGCTCAGAGTCAGTATAATGTGTCTGAGTGGGGTATTCATGCTTCACTGCGGCATGGTATCTCAGTAGGCTAGCACTATAAAACCAGCGTAAGTTTGGGCTAGTACAAGCAGCCGCACATACACCTGCATGCACGTCGTCATATGAGTGAAATATTCTCAAGCACAACGTTAAACCCAATTCCACCACCACCACCACCAATACTGTCATTGATATGATAAACTACAAGAGATCATCACAGAATGTAGATGATAATCCCTGTGTGCTGAAATTTAGGATAATAGTCACACAATGAAACAATTACAGACTGGTAGATATTAGAACGGACTATAAACAGAGTCTGGACCAGACAAACCAGTGACTTCAGTGTATCGCCTGTCTGGATTCCGGGTTGGAACAGATCCTTAGCCACAGCAGCAACCAAATATATCAAATGATCAGACTGGTGACTTTCAGTTTTAGTCTCATTGTAACCCCTCTGTGTCATGCTCATGCTATTAATCACTGGTTTTGAAGTCCAGACAGGGCACTGTGATTATTTGTGAGAGTGCTGCTAACAAAGAAACTATTACCATCTGATCCCTGCTTATGAATACTGGGATCAACTTTGGCCTGTGACTGGTACTGCTCACAGAAGTTACACATATACCATGACATTTTCTTTTGAGATCTAAAACAAAACTACTCAAACCTTCACAAATAAAAGTAATACAACCAATTCTATAATCATAAGCAATCATTGCTAAATGAAATCTATTGTATTTTCAAACTATATATGTTTTATTATGAATCAATCTGAATCACTATAAACTGGTGATAACATGTCCTGCCCTACCAGTGGCAGCCATCACAAACACATGCAAAGGCAGGTCAACATTCACCAACAACATAAGGTATATATTCCTGCACATAACATACTTCATAACAAAAGTCTGGCATGGCAAAACACACACAACACACACACACACACACACACACACACACTCAAAGCAAGTTTGATCCATGTCATTTAAAACCAGTTCCAACTCTGAATGCGATTTGTTTTTACTTCTAAGCAAAGAGGGACAGCCTTCAAAACTGGATTCCACAAAACAAATATGATGAAAATGATACTTAGGAGAGTTAGATCATATTTGGAAGAGGTGCATCATAGTTAGGAGAGGTGGATCACACTTGGGGGAAGTGAATCATACTTGGGACAGGTGGATGATACTTTCGTCAGGTGAAACATACTTATGAGACGAGGATCGTACTTTGAAGAGGTGAATCGGACTTACGAGAGCTGTATCATGTGTGTTTCAGCATAATCCGCTGTTCTGTTCTCAACTGCAGCTACCCCTTTTCAGGAGGTGTCCACATGGATGAGTTTGTTATTATTGAAGCTGCTGGGCGTTATTCCACTTTCGCAGTCATATAATTGAAGCTGCTTCACGAAATATTATCGCGCATACCAGCTGACAAGTCTGTCTCAAAAGCGTCCGATCGAGACTTGATCCAGTCAAGTTGTCCACACAGAAACGCGTTAGAAAAGTCATCTTGACCGTTCACCACGTTTGGTTGAACCAGGGAGACTATATAAGGTTGTAGAGTATCCCTGGTTGAACGCCCACAAAAGAGGTTAGCTCACTATTCACACATCTGCAACATATACCAAGGATAATCACAAACTCTTACGTCATATTCGTTTGCTACAGATTAATGTTATTTGGTTTCCTTGTACTTGGAGTCTACAATTGGTTTTCTCGTACTTGGAGGGTCAATTTGAAACCTTAAACTGTCCTGGGACATTTTGATTTCCGAAACATTTTGACATTTCTGCTAGTACTACAAGGAGATGTTATACCTCCTGACTCATTGCCCCTTATTTTAATTGACCGAGTGGTCAGGCTTGGTGAGTTGTATGGCGACGTTTACCTTTACTTTTGATACTGATCACTTGATTGTTTGGTCCAGAATCACACGGGGCCTGTGGGGTAGCCTAGTGGTTAAAGCGTTGGCTCGTCACGCCGAAGACCCGGGTTCGATTCCCCACATGGGTACAATGTGTGAAGCCCATTTCTGGTGTCCCCCGCCATGATATTGCTGGAATATTGCTAAAAGCGGAGTAAAACTAAACTCAGTCAGTCAGTCAGAATCACAGGCTTACAGGCAATCGTCGAATGTGAGGGGTATTGCTGGGTGCGGCGTCAGGGAAAATTAAAGCGAGGGGCTGGTGCTTATGGAGAGACGCACATGCTTGTCCTTTTCACAAACACGCTTTGTCACTGAAAGAAATATCACAAGGTTCCTTTCTGGCCCTCAGAACCTGTATGATTTAAGTAACTAAATTTTCAGAAATTGTTACTAATATTATCAGACATGTCCCTGTGAACGAGAATTTGAATTTATTCAATTCAGCACTTGTATGTTTTGGAATTATAAATAAAGATGACGGTAAGTGTGGCCAAAATGGTGGAATTATTTCTGAAATAATGGAATTTGAGCAAGTCTTTGATAGGAGATGAAGGTAAACACAGTGTAGGCGTATGGTGAAAGGTAAAGCTCATCTTTGGTCACAGACTTGCCCAAAATGAAGATCTTCAACAGGAGTTACTCATTTTAGCCATAATTGTGTTCTTGTTAATGTTAGAAGTGCTAAACTTGCAACTTTAAAACAGAGAAAGGCTCATTATCAACCATTTTAATAATTTCACAGATATTATTTTTTATACAATATCATGTTTGTCGTAATATTTTGCAAGCTAAGAGCTTCTCAACAGACGTAATACGTATGTATCCAGCACACGGACATTTATCTATCATATTGACATATATATTTAATATTTAACTACATATATACTCATGCCAATAATGGTTGTCACCCCCTTCATATTTTTTAATTGGAGATGGGGTGTGGGTTGGGGTGGGGAGGGGGGGTGACAACCATTATTGGCATGAGTATAGATACATGTCAACATGCTAGATACATACCTATTAATTCTGTTGAGAAACTCATAGCTTGCAAAATATGACATTTGTAGAATCAAACGGAATGAATATATATCACTTTTTATATCATTTACAAAATGCATTTTGGCATACATAACACCGAAATGCATTTTGTAAATGATATAAAAAATGATATGTGCACATTCCGGTTGATTCCACAAGTGTCTGTATATCGTTTTACGTACACCACAGCATTTCTTCAGCCATGGAGTTGTCCTAAGTACAGCTGGAAACTCCTCGTGGCAGATGTTGCTATGGGACACCATGTTGGTCGTCGCTGCCTCCAGGCTTTTATTCTGCTGCATATGTCACCGAGCTTATACTTCTGAAACGATTCTAACAGCAACAGATGGCGTCGATCGCGTGTTGACTAGTGCGTATGAATATCTTTATTCACAGCGCAGTGGCTCACCGACTGAAGGAGGATCCTCTCGCCCAGTCACAGAACAGAAGGTAATATTTTGGGATTTTAACCGTTTTTGTGGACTTAGGATATTTACAGTGTACATTTTTTAATGCGATTTAGAATGTGTTTTATGATATACACCTGTACTGAATTCTGCAGTAAATCTCAGACGTGAGAAGCTATGTGCGTTGTAGATTTGTGCTCGTTTGTACCTTGACTCATCGTCAGCGTTGAGATTGCGTGGCCAAACCATCGTTGTGGATGCTGTTCGTCGGAAGACCAGCATCAACACAATGGGCATACATGGGAATATACGTATAAACTTTAAGGAAAAACTGACAGGCCAAAAATGTAAACAGATGACGCCCACGCACTAGAATATATGCATAAACGTTGAGGACATACTTAGCCGTGTTAAAAATTGACGATTAGATTTGATACAAGATTTGAAAACGTTATCAAAACATTTGTAGGCTGGAAACAATCTGCGGAACACTGCCGACGTAAGATCCCCACCACAAAGATGGTACCTGTAACAAATACTGCCCCATGGTATTACCATTTCTTGTATCTGTTCATTGTTAGCCACCATAAAATCAGGGTGTATACTTTCTTTGGATCTTCAGTGCATTTATGTGGTTTTGCAATAAATGGGTATGTATCCCAAAGCTTCAGGTCCATGAGAATACTTTTGGGTCAGTGAAATGACCAGAAACGATTATTGTATGAAAATGGAGATGTCATTCGTGTGATAAATAATCGAGAAACTTCAAATTGACAAATGTTGTGGTCCTTGGTTATTATAAACAAATATACCGGCAATTATTCGAAGGGATTGAGTTGTATGGTCACTAGGGAGTTGAGATTGATAATACGACGTGCCGTTGAGATTGACATTCAGTGATCGAGGGAAAAAACAAAACGTCTTTGAGCAGCTGAGCTGGATATCGGCGCTATACAAATGTTAGCATAATAAGGGATACTTGCATGACATAACATCATACAAGTTAAGCGTGGTTTACCGCATTCTCCAAAAAGAACATTGTACTTGGATGAGGAGAAGCTCTGGAATACTACAGTACAAATCGAACCTCGTAAAGCTTTTGGATAGTATTACAAGAAACGTTAAAACAGTTTATGCGCCACGACAACAGTATAACTTTTGCTAGTCTAGCTTTCGAAGCTCGATCGATTCCGCATTTGTTTTCCGGCAGCAACACTGAAATTTTCATTTCGCAGTTGTGTGTTTGAATCCAAGGGGCATTTATACCATGGAAAGAAACAATCATGCCACAAAAAATATAATTTTTATTATATGTTTGAATCAGGGCAATTTAGTCAAACACTTTGACACTGCTTTTGACACGTGGTTGTATCGCATACATGAATTGGATGCAAAAATAGGATGCTATGTTGATATTTTCTTTCTTCTTATATATGGCGATGAAGTTAACAACAGTCATCTTTTATCAGGTCAGGATATTAACTGTTCATGGTACGAATATCGTCAACCAAATGTTGTTTTTGTATTGATTGGACGCAAAGAATTAAAATCGGGGAACAAAAATATCGTCTTTATTGGGCTATATACTATTACGAATGGTTTCCTCTGAGGCATGAGGTCGGGCATTATAGAGAAAATGTGCTCATTATCATTCATTTAACCCTTGCAATTATGAACAATATATACAATGGAATTAGTAAACGTTTATTAAAACCATTTCAAACTGTTGGTTTCATATTGAGAGTAACACTTGGATTCTAACTCCCGACGAGATGATCCTGGCAGCAAAGGGAAGTCACTCTACACAGCTCCTTACAATGTCTTACAAACAAATGTTGTCTTTGTATTTGACATCGTTCGAGAAATCGATTCTGCTGAACATAAGAACGTTCAGAACGCAGTTCCCTATACTGAGATGTATAACATGTACCCGGATACTAAAGACATGAGAACAATCTAGTCAAGATCTAGGTATCTCCATGGGAACCATTTGGGCCCCAACCACCAACTCCCAGAAGTCAACTTTCCCTTCAAGTCCACTAATATCACAACAGCTCTAACCTTTGAAGTTTACATTTCACACCTTTTGAGGGACAGTCGAACATGTTCCTTTGACTATGATGGCAAGGAGCTTCAATACCCTGTTTTGTCTTGTACCATATATTCCCGTATTCTTTTCAGGTAAAGACTTGACTGGCCCTTGTATTTGTGTGTTACGGGTGCCACCGTTTCGAGTGAGTGAGTGAGTTTAGTTTTACGCCGCATTCAGCAATATTCAGCAATATTCCATGGCGGCGGTCTGTAAATAATCGAGTCTGGTCCAGACGATCCTGTGATCAACAGCATGAGCATCGATCTACACAACTGGGAACCCATGACATGTGTCAACCAAGTCAGCGAGCCTGACCACCCGATTCCGTTAGTCGCCTCTTACGACAAGCATGGGTTACTGAAGATCAATAGATCTTCACGGGTAATCACCTTTTCGAGAACACCTAGTACCGTCACCATTTCATAGTGACTCACCGATCATGAACATACGCTCATGATACGGTCGAAATCGTAAGATGATTTTACTTTTAACGGAGATTTCCTGTGATAATAGAAAGGGTTGACGCATTTATCTATCCTACTAATTCCTAAGGGATAGCGGTTATAGCCTCGGGTTCTTATACCACATGTACAATGGTTACATATGCAATCAAAACATTCGTTCTGGTATTACGCAATTTCATCACGTCAACTGTGTAATTATGCTAAATATGACAGCTGGCACGTATGTGGAATTGATATATACATGTCCCCATCGCTCAAGGTCAGCAGAAAATACAAAGTGAACATACCACCTGCATACTGGGACGCCATTGTATTTACAGGATGCCGTAATGTATGTGGAATATTGACTTCCGCGTGTACAGCTGTGACATGGAAGCATTTAGTAATATTGAGGTAAACTCCGCGTAAAACCGATACAGACAGGTAAACAGGTAAACTCTGAAGCATTTAGTAATCAAAGCGACAGACAGGTAAACACGTAAACTCTGAAGCATTTAGTAATCAAAGCGACAGACAGGTAAACTCTGAAGCGTTTAGTAATCAAAGCGACAGACAGGTAAACTCTGAAGCATTTAGTAATCAAAGCGACAGTAAACAGGTAAACTCTGAAGCATTTAGGAATCAAAGCGACAGACAGGTAAACACTGAAGCGTTTAGTAATCAAAGCGACAGACAGGTAAACTCTGAAGCAGGTTTAGGAATCAAAGCGACAGACAGGTAAACTCTGAAGCGTTTAGTAATAATCAGGTAAGGTAAACACGTAAACTCTGAAAACACGTAAACTCTGAAGCATTTAGGAATCAAAGCAACAGACAGGTAAACACGTAAACTCTGAAGCATTTAGGAATCAAAGCAACAGACAGGTAAACACTGTAAAACGTTTAGCATTTAGGAATCAAAGCAGGTAAACAGACAGGTAAACTCTGAAGCATTTAGAATCAAAGCGACAGACAGGTAAACTCTGAAGCGTTTAGTAATCAAAGCGACAGACAGGTAAACTCTGAAGCGTTTAGTAATCAAAGCGACATTTAGGAACAGCAACAGACAGGTAAACTCTGAAGCATTTAGGAATCAAAGCGACAGACAGGTAAAACAGACAGGTAAAACTCTGAAGCGTTTAGTAATCAAAGCAACAGACAGACAGGTAAACTCTGAAGCATTTAGTAATCAAAAAGCGACAGACAGGTAAAACGTAAACTCTGAAGCTGAAGCGTTTAGTAATCAAAGCGACAGACAGGAATCAAAGCGAACAGACAAGGTAAACTCTAAAACTAAACTCTGAAGCATTTAGGAATCAAAGCAACAGACAGGTAAACTCTGAAGCGTTTAGTAATCAAAGCAGACAGGTAAACACGTAAACTCTGAAGCATTTAGGAATCAAAGCAACAGACAGGTAAACTCTGAAGCATTTAGGAATCAAAGCGACAGACAGGTAAACTCTGAAGCATTTAGGAATCAAAGCAACAGACAGGTAAACTCTGAAGCATTTAGGAATCAGTAAACTCTGAAGGTTTAGTAATCAAAGCTACAGACAGGTAAACACGTAAACTCTGAAGCGACAGTCAAAGCAGGTAAACACGTAAACTCTGGAAGCATTTAGGAATCAAAGCAACAGACAGGTAAACAGATGACTGAAGGTAATAATCAGTGCAGGTAAAAAACAGACACGTAAACTCTGAAGCATTTAGTAATCAAAGCAACAGACAGGGTCAAACTCTGAAGCATTTAGAAGCGTTTAGTAATCAAAGCGACAGACAGGTAAACACGTAAACTCTGAAGCATTTAGTAATCAAAGCAACAGACAGTTAAACACGTAAACTCTGAAGCATTTAGGAATCAAAGCAACAGACAGGTGAACATGTAAACACCGCAGGGTTTATTAATCTGTAATGTTTAGAATTGTTCTTCAGCAACACATGCTTGCTTGTCCTATGAGGCGGTATCGGAATGTTACATTCGCTGCTCATTTTATCAATCACTGGATTGTCTGGTCCAAACTCGCTCACTTACAGACCGCTGTCATATAGTAGGAATATTGCTGAGTGCGGCATACAACAAACAAACAAATTGTGTTTCTGTTTATATGCATGGATGCGTGCGCACACATTAGAGCGTGTGTTCCTGTAGGCATAACACGTGACTGTCATTTCATCCGTCTAAATGTGCGTCCTGGTAAATGGCTGGGATATCCATCACACGCATTTCTTTCGCCTTCATGTGTTACCTGAGACAGGTAATAATTTATCAACGACACCGAGCTATTCGTTTTACGCCACATTGGGTTAAGCCGTGTCACATCCTGTTGAATCCGGCTTTAATCATGCGCAATTATCTCCATAGATACTGATACAGCTACACAATTTGACAATTGTAGCGAATGATGAAGTTTCAGTACAAAGCTGTTTCCGTATGATGAGTCACGTTCGCATATCTTGAACGTAGATCTGACACAGCGCTTGTATGGTACAAACGGTCAGGTGACTGTCGCTTATTTAACACCACTTAATAACACCTGTGACGCTCAATATCCGCGTCGTTGTTCTTGTAGCTGAGTCACCCACAAATTCAGAGGCCATTTTGAACGTGATTTTTAAACAAGTAAAACTGAGCTTAAGGCAGCTATTTACGTGTCGTTAGGAAAATTTCAGAGATGCTTAAAGTCATTGACTGTTGATTCCTTCGGTGATTCTTGATTGATCTCAATAAATACGGGATTATTTTTTATCAATACGTTTTGTTCATGGTTCATTCAAATGGGGGCCCCGTCACTTAGGAGTGCAGAGTTGTGTCCCTTGGGTACACCAGGAACCTATGACTGTTGTTTGGAATCCTGGTTTGCTCCAAATTTTCTCTTGGTCTGTTAGTACCTGTGCTCGTGGGTCTTACCAAAGTGGTAGACCAAGGTGACACGACGTGAGATAACTTGAATACTGTTAAAAGGGTGTAAAACTCGCTCACTCACTCACTCACTCACACGTAAACGGGCTCCTGGTGACACCGCAAGCCCCAGTAACCAAACAGAATGTCATTTTAAGGATTTTCCTCCTTTCTGCTTTCGTTTGATTTCAAAATCAACTTATTTAGGTCACACCTAATTTCCTATACCGACCGAATACTGTATGGCAGCCTATTTGTTTCATTTATCGGTTCAGGCTTGAATGAAAGCATTTTAATACAGTAATATATTTAACGTGGAATGGATAGATAACAAAATTGAATTTTCGGTTGATGACGTAAATGCTATAGAATCAATAACGCAACATAGGTGATAATTTGGAATATGTTTCATGTTTCACGCACGAATCAAACGCCCGTTGAACTCAAATTTGTGTGTGTTTTTGACAATGCTATTGAATTTCTTGTTTTCGCAGCCAGTTTGTGTACATCACAGTATGCTTGTAACGGACTCGCTTATAACGAACTGGGTGTTTTTGTCCCGACAAATGGCTGCTTTATAAACTAACGGGCAAAAGAAACGATACCAAAATTGGTAGTTTGATATTTTGATAGTTCATTCCTTCACTTATACAGTGACTCAATGGACATATTATTGTTGCCACTCCAGTGAAATCACTGAGTGGATGTTGCCCATACACTTGCCATTGCTTTTTCACAATGGTGGTTTGTCGTTTTGTAATATCAGTGATTTCGACTTGGTATCGTTTCTTTTGCCCGTTAGTTTATTTTAGTCGAAATGCGTACAACGAACTAAACAAATCGTTCCTCTGAGTTCGTGATAACCGTAGTCAATTCAATATACAAGGTTGTGTTTTATGCGTGGTATTTCGGGCACTGCCTCAGTTTCCCTTGATTAAACTGGTTGACCTGGGTTGAATCTCTTCCAGCTAGGTTGCAGGAACTTATTATAACGAGTGAGTGAGTGAGTGAGTTTAGTTTTACGCCGCACTCAGCAATATTCCAGCTATATGGCGGCGGTCTGTAAATAAGCGAGTCTAGACCAGATAATCCAGTGATCGATCTGCGAAATTGGAATACGATGACATGTGTCAACCAAGTCAGCGAGCCTGACCACCCGATCCCGTTACTCGCCTCTTACGACAAGCATGGGTTACTGAAGATCAATATTCTAACCCGGACCTTCACGGGTATTATTATAACGAAAAATAGAAAGCCAACCTAAAAATTATCTACCAAGACAAATTACAGTTGGCGTAAACAGCAAAATAGTTGGGATTTGGGATTACACTTTCTCAGCCAAGAACATATTTTTAGTAGTACACAGTAGTGGTAGCCGCGAGGGTGAGGTGAGGTGAAATTGGGTTTAACGTCGTGCTTGAGAATATTTCACTCATATGACGACGTGCATGCGTGTGTATGTGTATGTGCGGCTGCTTGTACTAGCCCAGACTTAAACTGGTTTTATAGTGCTAGCTCACTGAGATATCAAGCCGCAGTGAAGCAACGAATACCCCACTCAGACACAGTATACTGACTCCGAGCAGACCAGTCCTTGTTGTACCCATTAATGCCTAGCGCCAGGCAGGGACCAACAAGTACCATATTTTAAGGTCTTTTGGTATGACGCAGTCGGGGATCGAACCCGCGACCTTCCGCTCTCCGGGCGGACGCTCTAACCACTACACCACGGAGGCGGTCGGTAGCCGTGAGGGCTGAGTGGGTAAGGTTGCTGACTTTGTGTGCTAGCGATTAGGAGCCTTGGTTCGAATTCAGTATAGGACTTATCCTGACAAAAGTGCTTAAAGCTCACTGACTTGGTTAACACATGTCATCGTGTCGTAGATCCTCGATGCTCATGATGCGTAAAACTAAACTCACTCACTCACTCACTCACTCACTCACTCACTCACTCACTCACTCACTCACTCCACTCACTCACTCACTCACTATGTGTTTCAGGGCAGAGCATCACATCATGTGTGGGCACCCAGGAGGGGCGGTGTTCTTCTTGACCATCCTCACCACAGTCGTCCTCATCTTCACCGTGTTGCTGGGGGTGGCGGCACTGCCCTCAGCCAACTTCAATTGTAAGTATCGGAAGTCACACTTTGTCTGGCATTCTGGAACAACATTAGAAACGCTGCACACTAAAATTCACTGAACAAAATGTAAAAACATAGGTTGGAATGAAGCAGCCATTACGACAGGGATCTCAACATGTAAAACACACATCATGATTTTGATTGTGGCATCAAAACGCAGCCACATCTGTGACTCTGTATCATCTAAATCATGAAATGCACGTGATTTTCAAAGTTCTGACGCAATATCCACAAATGCACATGGGTATGAAAGACCACAATGTCCAAACTGTTAATCACCAGTACAAGTGAGAATTCAACCATGATTGACCCTTTTTACCATACCACGATTGACATCGGAACAGCGAGAAAGAGCAGTGGGCTACTTGAATGCTGGATGGTCAACGGGGAAGTGGCTCAAACATGCAACTGCCATCATTCCACAATCGTCGGAAGTACCCGTTACCGTCAACGTCCTGGACAACCACCTGTCACCACGCCCAGACAAGATGGCCACCTTGTCTTGTCCCACTTACGGAACAGAACCCAGACTGCTACACGTACAGCTTTGGACAATCCAGGGGAGACGTTGAATCATCAGCGACCAAACCATACGGAGCCGTTTACGTCAGTAAGGCCTCAACGCTCGGCGTCCCTACAATGGCCCCCATATTGACACCCAGATACCCAGACACCGACACGGTCGATTAGACTGGGCTAGAACCCATCAAAGATGGACGCAGCGACAGTGGGAAGGTGTGCTCTTCACTGATGAATTTCGTTTTCATCTCAGTAACGCAGATGGAAGAGTTTGTGTATGGCGACATCGTGGAGAACGCTGTGCGGACAGGTAGATCGTTGGGTGGGGGGTAGTGTGATGGTTTGGGGCATCAGTGTTCATTCAAGAACACCACTACATGTGTTTCGAGGACGTGTTAATGCCATCACCTACACAAACGACGTCTTACGAAACCAGATCTTTCCGTATCTGAACGCCAATCCACTTCTCCAAATTCTTCAGCAAGGTAATGCTCGAGCACACACAGCACACCATGGACTTTTTGACACAAAACAATGTGGATGTGCTTCCATGGCCAGCTCTGTCTGTCGGGTTTGGCCCCGGTTGAGCACATCTGAGATAAAATGGGCCGACGTCTAATGATGGAACCACCTGCTTCCAATGTCCGTCAATTGGAGGTCAACCTGCAACGTGTATGGCAACAAATACCTCTGCGAATAATCAGGACGGCGATTTTCTCTCTCAGACAGCGCTGTGTTGCAGTAATCAACGCCAAAAGTGGACACACCCGCTACTGACAGTGTTTACAGCGAACTTGTGACTGTGGGTTTTGACCCCTGGTGCCTCTATACGTGTCATGCTCTGTCAATACCACTTTTGAAATGTATTCATCCTTTGTTGAGGGAATCTGCAAGCTTTCGGACGATGCTAAGATATCATGGGTACATTTCAGTCTGAAGGGGATATTATAAGTTGTTCACTGGTCTCGAGGGGGACATGGGCTGATGTACCCTCGATGTTTGTTTATGTTCCCTGAGCCCGTCATATTTCGTATTATATGGGTGGTGCGTTTCTAATGTTGTTCAGTATATTTTAGAATAGTGATGCTTGACGTAACGTGATGGAAATGAGTGTTGTATGTTTTGTTTTGTTGTTTTTGGTTGTTATTATCATTTTTTAATTGAGCGAGCGAGTGAGTTCAGGTTTACGCCGCTTTTAGTAATCATACAACAATATCACGGCGTCCAGGAATGGGGTTCACACATTGTACCCAATAGGGAATCAAACCCGGATCTTTGGTTTGACGCTACCGGTTTAACCTCTGGGTAACCTCAATATTCCAAGTTTGTTTTGTTTTTTTTGGTTTTTTTGGGGGGGTGGGGGTAGGGGGTTGTGTTTAACAAAATGGTCGTGAATGATCTTAAAAATATATATTTTAATGGAAGAGCGCAACACTTTGTGCTTTGAACGATCTTTGAACGAAATGTTAAACATAGATAATACATACCACTGACAAAAGTACAGTAAAACGGAGTGTCGACAATGTCATATTGTGGCTTGACATCTCCATAATCACGTCCTTCCAACACCGCAGTGCTGTATTGATCTCATTGACTTGCAGCTAACAGATGTTCCTATACGAGGCTGTCACAGCCGGTGGAGTAGTGAAACGCTGCGTCGTTACTGATGATAAACATCGAAGAAGTGGCGTGCTATCAAACCCATATTGATTCCAGTTCCAATTTTATATTATTTATTTTATTTGAATATAAAACTAAAATATATCTTCTTGTTAGTGTAATAACATCTCGTGATTATGAAGGGAATACTGTCTGATTGAAATGTTTTTCGTGATGGAATGATTTAATTATCTGATCGACATTGGCCTTTCAGTCATGTGAAGCAACACTCCTTTCTGTCTGGCATTGCGATTGGTGGAGTATTTTGGGATATATGTTCCAAAGAATTGTACGAGACAAAATTCTGTCAAATTCTTGAAAAGCTGTAATTTTCTCAAATCTAAAGGCACGTAATGGCAATAAGAAAACAACAAAGATATATATTTGTCATATCTTCCCAATCAAGGGCTTATCTCAGTCATGATATATGAAACGCCAAACCAAGAGAACACCCAGCCTCGTTTATCCGTCCAAACACATTTCACTGGTTTAAAAAGCAAAATGAGTGAGTGAGTTTAGTTTCACGCCGCACTCAGCAATATTCCAGCTATATGGCGGCGGTCTGGAAATAATCGAGTCAGGACCAGACAACCCAGTGATCAACAGCATGAGCATCGATCTACGCAAATGGGATACGATGACATGTGTCAAGCAAGTCAGTGAGACTGACCACCCGATCCCGTTAGTCGCCTCTTACGACAAGCATGGGTTACTGAAGATAAATTATAATCCGGATTTTCACGGGTTTTAAAAGGCAAAATAGCAGTGTCTTTTATATAACCTCGCGTAATCAATATTCGCGCACCTAACATGTTTCGGCGCGGTATGCGGAATTAACAAGACACGTGAAAATCACCAATTATACAAACCTTTATCAATATAAAATGTTTATAAAAACATAAGTTTCAGCCTTTGACACTTCGCTATCGTAGCGGGACGAAGCCACCATGCCCACTACGGTATCAAGGTCAGTTGTGCGCTACGTCATCAATATTCGTGATAGCTAAAATCCGGACAAACAATATGGCGAATAGTTAACGCCAACAGCTCATAACGATGTAACATTGAAGCTCATGTCTCACAATGCTGATAAGAAAGATTTTGTCAAGAAATGTTCAGAATGTGTCTACTTTTGTCTATCTTAATACAAAACGCTTTTAAACAAGTAAAAGTTCCTGTAATCTTGAATGAAAGTTAAAAAAAAACAATCTTCATCACTTTGGAGACATTTACTGAACAAACACAAGCATAGTTTCGTAAGTCATTAATTATAACTATTTGATTTCATCTTACAAAGTCGTCATAATTGAATTTTACTTGGTAACTTTTCATGAAGATTTGTTATAAGGATTGTGTCTGAAATGGGCTTCCATAGTTATTTTTCCCCGGGCCACACCCCACCTACTGGGATCATGACCTTTTAGCGTTACCAGTTACCAATGCAGACGACCGGTAGATGGGTGCTGTCATGAACGAAAACTATTTTTTAGGGCTCATTTTCGTCTCGATGTTTTTGCATTAGTGCAGAAGCATTAAAATACGTTTACTTGAAAACTTTTGATTAAAAACTCTCATTTGAAGCTTGTGATTTCCAAATTGTGACAGCAGGAATACGAAGACGACTTCATGTTTACAAACACAAACTCTGACATCATGACTTTATTTGCAGCGACCGCGTGAACCCGGAAATGATAGGTGCGCGAAAATAGATGTCCGCGAATTTACATTACGCCAGGATATATGGATGATAATAAGACCAGGTGTTCGTAGAAAGGGCAAATACCTCTTTGTTTCTGAGAAATGAGTTTCTGATTTTGCAAAGATAAATACATAACGCCAATGTATTCTTTGTTGCAGTGGCGCCGGGTCTGTTCGAGCGAGGGATCGCCAATGTCTCCGACACCTACCACCTCGATATATCACCTACGGATGGAACATTCGCCTTGTGGGGTATACTCTTCCTGTGGCAGTTCTGCTGGCTAGCATACTCTCTAACCGCATTATGTCGTAAAACAGGAGACGGACGCGTTTACGACAACCCAATTCTACTTCCGCCCGCGTTTTACGTCTCGTTCATCGTAAGCCTGTTTATGACGATTGGGTGGTTGTTCCTCTGGGATCGGCTGTTCATTGCTCTTTCACTGGTCGTAATGTTATTCGTCTCGGCATTCCTTTACCTATCCCTAGCTCTGTCCTACAGCGCATTGGAACGTCACATGCCGCTTCTCCACGTTCAAGGAAGGAGCCTCGACATCTGGTCAATCCGAATCCTGGTACAAAATGGTATCGCCTTGTACGCCACCTGGACCACCATCGAATCCTTGTTGATTCTGGCAGCCGTTATGACGTATACATCTGTACCGCAAGTATCTGAGGAAACGTCATCAACTGTCAGTCTCTCCATCCTTGCCGCCTTCATGCTTGTCTATGCTCTGACTGATTTTTTTGCTTTCGACCGATTCAGCAGATTCACCGTTACACCCTACATGGTGTTAGTTGTCGCCCTCTGTGGTATGTTCGTTAACAATGCTGACACGTACAAAATGAACTCGATCTTCATCGTGGCGCTGTTGGCAACGTCGGCCGTCGTCGCCCTCACCAAGGTGTTCTTCATTTGTCTCCGACAAATAACCAAGCAATCGGATTCCGCCGAGACGACTGAATTCCTGAGGGAGCTGGATGAATCAAGACATCTTTTGAAATGAGAGCGTGGAAACCAAAGAACTTCCCTCGATAGTTCCAGCTTTAATCAGTATTCTAGTTATAGCAAAGCGCGTCAGTTAAATGCGGGAGGAAAGTCCCAAATGGCGCAGGTCTCGAGACATTTACATCTTTGGTCAACCCTTTGAGCAAGGTCCTGGAGCTGACAAACCTGGAAATACGATCGGGGAGAACGTAGATTAGAAGACGGGACCACCCGTGCCCCCACATAGTACTGGAAGCGTGTATTAGACTCCCGATAGTACAGGTTGTTACACATATTTGATGGTTCGGTGTATGTATCTTGTAACAAACCAGTATCTTCTTTTCACAGATAACATTCAAGTGTGTGCGAGACGTTGTTGAGAGGAGCCTTTTAAGCACATACAGTCACATTAATAACTGTTTATGTTGTATACGCTTTTCATTGTTAGATTGTACTCATCGTGTGTTTATTCAACTAGATCAACAACTTTGTGTTTTGTACTAATGGTGCTGGATCATTATCTAGACTAACGCTTAGTCTCTGAATATATATAATTATAGTAAGAAACAAACCCATTTAAATTGAAAAGGAGCCCCAGGGAGACCAGAGTTTCTGATTCCTGAACCTGAGGAAATCTAGACTTGCTTCATTTAGGGCTTCAGCACTGCAGATAGGGCTTGGCAGTACGGAAAATAATGTGGTTCAGGGACTGTGAGACAGACCAGATTATTATCATTCAGAGCCTTGGAAGTTTTATACAGACAGGATCCGTTTGTTTTGGTCATCGCTTCAAAAGCTTATTTAATCTTATTAATAAACACAATAATATTTCAAGACATTTTTTAAATCTCCATGCACCCTGAACATCATATGTCTCGCCACTTATGATATTTTTTATCCTAAAATGTTGTTCATTTAGCATTGACGTTTTGGTCAGCTTAGAATCTAAAAGTCAAACAAGAGAATGGTCGATAGTGGCTGAAAATCACACGTTACGAAAATGGTTATTCGATCGTGATGTATCTACTGCTGGTATAATTGACGATATTACACGCTTCATTTGTATCCCGATTGTTTTCAGCCAAGTAGCTTCAGTAAATTTGAGTCAAATCAATTCTTTGCATATATTTTCACTTGCCAGGCAGTTGGGGACTGTTAAGAGTATTTTTCATTATAGCCCCCCAAACCGTAGAAGCAGGCGGTGGCAGCAGTGCCGAGAAATGTATATATTGTTAGTATATAGTATATTGTTAGAGCGTTTGAATCACAACGCAATCACTACTTCTTGATTATCTAGCGTGCAAAGAAGATTCATTAGTGTATTGGATTATTATCGGACCGCTCATACCTATGCCGGTTTAGACAGTGTTAATGGCAGTTAAAATTGCTTGTTGGGACCGTGCCGGAATACGGAATAGACAGGTGCCGGATTAGACAATGTTTAATGATCATAATATCGTTGTAAAATGACCAAACTTATATGCTGGTTTTGACAGTGTGCCGGATTAGACATGTGCCGGTGTTGGCAGGTTTCACTGTAATTATCTGGTACAGCTGTCACATAAACATAAAAAAGGAAGCTGCATTTTAACGGACTATCAGTCCTGCAAAACAACATAGATTATTCAAGATGACAGCGTGTTGTCCTCACTGTTTGCACATCAGCTGGGATCAATTGTTGAAGCTTCAAATAGAGGTGTTATGTTTCATGTATCAAGTGTGTGTTCTAAGTTCCACATGTCTGTCCCCACAGTGAGATTATAAGAATGTGTTGTTGAACATTAATGTGCCAGTGTTATCTGTGGACATGGAACGAAATAATGTAAGTCGCCAGCATCACTGTTGGTTTAATTCATTTAAGGATGTTGTCAGGCATTCCCAAGAAAACAAGCGTGTTCAAAAACATTAACTGTGCTGTTTGTCTAATTTCGACATTAATAGTGACCACTGGGGACATGAGTTAATTTTACGTTTTATACTACCAGTTTTTCCGTTTTCGCGGAGTATTCGATGTATGTTTGTTGTTTAACACCATATTCAAGCTATATGGCGACGGTCTGTAAATAATCGAGTCTTGACCAGATAATCCAGTGATCAACAGCATGAGCATCGATCTACGCAATTAGGATACGATGACATATGTCAACCAAGTAATTAATTTAACGATATGGCCGACATACCAAAAATAACACAAACGTGTTTAGAAACATTAACTGTGCTATTTGTTTATTTTGTACACTGAAATATTGACGACTTATTGAGTACATTTTGCGTTTTATACTACCAGCTTTAGCTAAGTTGAGTTCGACTCGACAACGCATTCACTAAACGACGATGTGCTAGCTGACGTATACTGTCTTAGCTCTGTCGACTCGAAATCAACAAAACAAACAGTTTAAATGTGCAAAATCTATTCCCATTTCTGCTTGGCGATATCTAATTGGAAAATAGACAAACTGTGTACACCTTTCTCTTTTTGAACACATCATAGTTGTTTTATTTGGTGGAAATGTATGGTAGGATTGATTGGAATATTATTTGGTACACTAGCAACTTGCATTATCAACTTCCCGCTTTGATCTGATCTATATTTTGTCCTCGTTATGGGCTACCATGACTTGGTACCGACACTGTTACCAGATGACTTTGTTGAGCATGGTGGGTTGGGTTTAACTCCCCCTGAACAACCTTTCTGTTGTATCGAAATTCGAGGTGATACAGGTCGTTCGAGTTTACCCCTGAAACCCAGAAGCCCGTTTGTGGGTTTATTAGAACCATTATTAGAGATTCGAACTCACGATTTAGATCACCTTGTACAAAATATCTGGTTTGAATTGTGCCTGACTAAAGCTTTAAACTCAGTTCATCCACTCACTCACTCGATATAGACTGACGAGATAATGCTTCCTGTTATCTCGAAGTAACAGCACGTCCACTATGTTCCCATATTCAATAATGCGCACGTATTCAATAACTGTTTTAGTAACCGAATACCTTTTATCACCGCTGATAAACGACGTGAGTTTATTCACAGCACTGGAATACCAATATACCACGTGATATTAACACCAAGTATATCCGGAGATATTCGATTTAATCAGAGAGAAACATAGTACACGTGCACCTGCGACCTATATCTGCTACAATGGAAACGATGAGGATTAGAAGGTGAGTGATGATGCAATATATCATTAGTCCTTTCACGTTAAAGCACGCTCACCGTTTGGACATATATGGTAAATGTATCGTACTGTTTTTGAAATCCATGACAATGCGTGAAATCACATTTTCAAATTGCTCAAAACTGAACAACTGTTTAATATGTTAAATTATAAGCCTATGATCAAATATATCGAGCTGTTGTCTGTTTCATTAGATTTATAACATCAACATATACTACAATAAAGACGCGTCATGAACTTAAGTCGAAGGACATTCGCATTGCTCAGAAAACCATTTCAGCTGTAAATATTTATTTGCATGGCAAGAAATGATGAGTGTCTGACAGCATGGCGTTGTGTTTGATTATCTCATTCCTAAATACACAAAACATTAATTCGAATTTTCTTACCATTGTCAGATATTTCAAACATTCGAATAAAGGTCTTCCAAATGTTTCAGTATAACTGTATCCGTGTATATAATGTATCCTAATGTTAAGCTACACAACGTGCGCATTCACTTACCGTCACGCTGTACATGGCCTTATAGGTTACACAACACCAAATGTTTTCCCATAGACTTCTATAGTAAAATTATCCAGGCTATCAACAGCCATTCCATGTACACATGGGTACACTCTGGCCTTTAATCTACAATAAAACACAATTTCTGGCCAACTTATCCGGCTAATCTTCCGAGCACAGGAAGCGGAACACATCAACCCCAGTTCCGCACCAAATGTCACCTACTGGAAAATATCTGTACACACAATAAGCATAAGTCATGGTGATAAAAAATGACAGCACTAAATATTTAAAATTGTGGTCAGTTTCCATTACTGGATGGATGTGCTTTTTAAAAACATGAAAATCTTTCATCCAATCACAGCTGTCATATGTCTCTATCTCTTCAGATGCTTACACACGGTTTTCGCTCAGGGAGCGTGTGATTCTGATTTAGTGTAGTAGAACCTATAAGAAAGTTACACTCACGGAAACCCCTACTCACGCCGTTGTAGTGTAGTTATGTAGCACAGTAAACATTGCTTATAGCGAATACGCCTATAACGAACGAACGGATAATTCGAATTGTTTTGTTGTCCTGGTCAGTTGCTGTATGTTTTAGTCGAAATGCGTAACGAACTACGTTTATAGCGAACTAAAATTAGTGGTCCCTGTGAGTTCGTTATAACCGTAGTTTATGTATTAAGTTGTGTTGTGCTTCGTATGAGTACTAGATGTATTATTGTAACTTTTCCCCTTATATGACATGCATGTACAAATTAACAATACAGATTGGAATAAAATAATCTACATATCTTGAGTTTGTTCTTGCTTTTTACATTTACAATTCCATTTTCTGAATCTAGAACTGAAAAAACATACTCTCGCCGTTGTAGTGTATTTATCTAGTAAGTAAACTTCGCTTATAACGAAATGACGGATAAATCGATTTGTTGTGTTTGTTGTACTAGTTGTGCATCTCCGGCATCCGCTCTCGTTTCGAATGTCACAATAGACACTTTCCTCATGTCATAAGGTACAACACTTTGAGGTACATTCGAACATACTCCGTCTCCGAATATTTCAAAGACGTCATACTGACGTGCCTTTGCGTGTGTTTGTGATGGATATCAGCTATGGGGCAATATGGGTTCATCTTTTTCTCGAATATCTTAATATTACTATTTCATAGCGATTATTTGACAGATGCTTACTTATGATTATTGAAAGGGGTTTGTCACTTGTAAGTTACATTTTGCTTTCTGCTTTCCTATTTTAATGTTGGAATGTTGTAAAACAGAACCCTGAAAGGTATCTTGTATTACGTGTAGATGTTTCGAAACCCAGGTTAATATGGTGTTTGTATATGGTACATGATGTGTATTACTTCACATTAAGTTGTAAGTGAAATGCTGTTCAAAAAAGCGTTGGACTCACTCACTTACTCACTCTCTCCAACACACTCTTTATTCACTGTACTTGCCACTCACCCACTTTTGTCCCTGTGATCTGTGATTGTGATCTGTTGCTGTGGTATTTGTCCTTGTGGTCCTTGTGATCTGTACTTGCCAACTGTTGTTGTGACATTTGTCCCTTGCATTTGTCCTTGTGGTCTGTGGTCTGTTCTTGTGATCTGTACTGGCCAACTGTTGTGACATCTCCTTGTATTTGTCCTTGTGGTCTGTGGTCTGTCCTTGTGATCTGTACTTGCCAACTGTTGGGACATCTACTTGTATTTGTCCTTGTGGTCTGTCCTTGTGATCTGTACTGGCCAACTGTTGGGACATCTCCTTGTATTGTCCTGTGGTCTGTGGTCTGTCCTTGTGGATCTGTGACCCTTGTATTTGTCCTTGTGATTTGCCAACTGTTGTCCTTGTGGTCTGTGGTCTGTCCTTGTGTGATCTGTGGGGACATGGCCAACTGTTCTGTCCTTGACAT